ATTGGGTTGAAGAAGCTCTGTCACTTGAGCTCCCATTTTACAGCAGCAGGTGGCGCTGTTTTACTTACTGATTTGACTATGAGATGTTGGACTCCAGTGTTGTGCATTTTTTTAAGTCCTTAATAAAATTACAAGTCAAACATTTCTGTTGTGTTAGAAAAGCCCAAACCACCTGAATTCACCCTGTTCATTTTTTTTCTTACCCAAATTAAGTTATTTCAACTTATTGTGTTTGTCACCATTAAATAATATATCATAAATAATTTATCCTTGCACATTTATTTTTCTTTTTTTAATTAATGTGGCCTCGTACTCAAAATAACTTCCCCTTCTTTTTGGAGCAACACCTCTTGAGGCAACCTGTCACTCACATGAGATCCACCAATAGCAAACCACAGCCATCCAATCAATTCCAAACGGACAAAATCGAGTCCCGTCCTACATTTTTTTTTTCTCATTTCAGAAGCAGTTTCACTCTGACAGGCCCACTCTGATTTCATGAAGCCGCCATTTTAAAATGTCTCAGGTGGGAAGAAAACCGGAAATGCCGTTTTTAATCATAGGAGAGGCGCAAATGCGATGGAGTATTGTTGTGTTTAATGTAGAAATTAGTTATTCTAAAAATGTACATACATTTATTTCATAATTTAGATCATATAAAGTGAAATTCATTCACAAATAAAATTTTTTTGTTATATAAAGTATATATATATATATATATATATATAATTCAGAACATAAAAAAGCAGGAACAAACTATATACATATCCTACATTGGATATTAACATCGCGGCAGCAGCTTCAGGTTGGTAGTCCAAGGCACTGTTGTCAATCCCACTGGAGCCTCTCTTTTGATTTCAAAATGGCGGCTGCATGAAATACAAGGGGATAATCCATCGACCGGAAGTTGAAGCCTCGCGGGAGTTGCCATCTTGTAGCAGAACTTCACTTGTGTTAGCATTCCCATTGACTCCCATTCATTTTGGCGTCACTTTGACAGCGAATAACTTTACATCTGAGGCGCTTAAAGACCCCATTTGTCCTTTATTTATTTCTAAAGAAACACGAAAATGTATAAAATGCTCCATTACCTTATAGCTTATTATGTTGTGGCCCCGTAGAAGCAGTTTTAGTGAAAGTAGGCTAACGATTGCGTCATACCCACACGACTCTCTGTCGCACAGTAGAGAGATTAGCCTACCGTATGGACAGGAGAAGAAGCTTGCGCGCAATCGGGGAACCGTCGAAGCAAAATGACAAAATAATTAATCAGAATACCTAGCAAAAGTGTCTCCTGCTCCTAGCTCATGGACAGCTCCTACTCACACTCTCCGCCTCTGCAAGTATCAGAAGGGAATGATTCAGATTTCTCATGCGACAGCACTAGAAGACAGACGGGTTGCTCACGTCTAGAGCCAGACCGATAAAGGATTTTGAAGGCCGATACCGATACAAATATTTTTTGGTTTTAAAATCCGATATTCCGATATATCGGCTGATATATATATTTTTTTTTTTCAGAAATGCGCAACAAAACATTAACAGATTTCCCTAACATTAGTTATTTGTAGTTATTTATGAGTTTTAACTAAACTAATATGTAATATGATAATGCATTTTAAAAAGAAACTTGTTTCTTATACTGATGATATTGGCATTAGCTTTATGGTTAGCTAGTCTATGTGTTTAGCTTGCCAACAGGAACGGTGTAGAGTGCCCTCTGGTGGACAAACTATAACTCCAACACTCATGATATGGTTCAAGCGTGTTTCGTCTGTTTTTATTTTATTTTTTAAATATTCATTTATCGGCCATTATAACTGCCGATATTGATATTTTAGAAAATGCCTAATATCGGCCGATAATATCGGCCTGCCGATATATCGGTCTGGCTCTACTCACGTCACATCTACATCATCAAGCTCTGTTTGAGTCTGCGCGTCAGGGACGGAAGTGCTAAAAAAAAATATCGCCAAAAATCGCCATTATTTTTTAATTATCTGTGAGTAAAGGCTTTAATTGTGTTCTGTTTTACACTAAGCTATCATAGTACAGTGGTACTTGGAATACATGAGTCATATGAAATGCATTTATAATGGGGATGTTGGAAGATCCAGAGATGATCTATTGCCTTACGAGATTCAGTTGTTGTTTGGTAAAACAATGGTGAAATAGATTTGTAACATGACATGAAATTTTTCCAGCTGGCATTTTAACCTTGAGTCACTGTTGAACCAACGCGGGTGCCAGTGTTGGATAACTGTTTACTTTTGAGATTGTAGCCTAAATAATGTTGACTTGATGTACAACTCAAAAATTGTTGATATTTCTGTTGAATCTATAGTGAGTGAGTTAACAAAACCACTCCAGCTATTTGTTGTCCAACGTTGTTTTGACGTCGAATTCATGTTTTTTCATAAACTGACATTATTTCAACAACATTTAAACGTTTAAATGTCAGTCAAATGCCAACTGGGTTAAGGGAAAGTTCAGCCAAAAAAGAAAATTCTGTCATCATTTACTCACCCTAAAGTTGTTTCAAACCTGTATGAGTTTATTTCTTCTGCTGAACATAAAATAAGATATTTTGAAGAGTATGGGAAACCAAACAGTTGATGAGTCCCATTGACTTCAACAGTAGGGAAAAAAATTCAATTCAAGTCAATGGGGCTCATCAACTGTTTGGTTATCGACATTCTTAAAAATGTCTTCTTTTATGTTCCAAACAAGAAAGAACTTCATACAGGTTCAGAACAACATTGGGGTGAGTAAATTATGACAGAATTTTCATTTTTAGGTAAACTATGCTTTTAAATTTGATTTCCACATGTGTTTTTTTCATGAGCAAAAAAGCATTTTCACACTAGCCCTGAAAATCAGCAACACTTCTAATCTGAATATTTAGTCCATGTGGAGACACAGCATTCACATACTTTCTGTCTGATACTATAAAGTGAAAATTGAAAGGGCAGGGAAATCCAGCAAAAAAAAACCTTTCAGTTTCACCCACCAAAAACACGAGAAAACTAAATATGCTAATGTGAACATACACTGGATCATATACTCAACAACACATACACACTCAACACATTAGAAGTCTGAGGATAAACACACACACAAAAAGACCTTGCCATTCAAAATCAATACACTTAAGGACTGTGCCTGACATCAAAGCATAATCAAACTCATGCATTGACAGCAAACCACAAAACTCTTGAAAGTGATAATGTCATGAAAGGTTGGGCCTACCGATTCACTTTGTCTAAATGTGCATCTGCTGTTGTGCTGGTTGGAATATTCCACCGAGCTCGTAAGAAAAGCTTCAGTCTAAAGACAGACAGATCTGAGTCAGCGAAACAGCCATTACCTGTGTTTGCGGCGGGTAGCGTTCCCCACCCCCATTTCCTCTGCAGTTTACAAGTTCGCTAAGAATACACAGAAGCGTGGGCGTTCACAAAGAAAAGCTTCTTAGAATCTAAGAAGCTAGAATAAGATCAAATAAAGGGACCTGATGCAAACGATAAGCGCATATACGTGAGCAATGGACAATGAACCAAACGTTTCTCCAAACCTCGAAACGCATGCAGTGATGTCATCTTATCTTACACATGTACAGCATCTCAAAAGACAAATGACTCACTTCACTTCTCTCCGCATCTTTGTTGGAGGATAAGATGAGTCAGAAAAAACTGTACATCATGGATTTAAAAATACATTTGCAGGTAAAGCAAGAATCACAAATGAAAGTGTTACTGTAGACGAGCAGGAAAGGTCAAACCGCTGCATTAAATGACGAATCATCCGCCGCGTGTTATACAACAATGTGTAAGGATGACTTAAAACAGACTTAGGTTTGGCATAACTTTATTTTGAGCAGAAAAAACATTCAAAACATAAAATTGTTCATTTAACGTACTTGAAATAAAGTTTTGTGCAGCTGATGCACTGAGTTTGATCATTCAAATAAATTATATCCACTATGGATACATCCAAAAACATTCAACATGTGCCTCTTAGTATGCATAATTTGAGACAGGCTATAAAAAGTGCAGCAGATTAATGGCATATTTCAAGAGAATCATTTAAAATAGTTAAAAAGCATGAAATTCGGCACAGATGCTCTCTGGGTCACTTTTTGGGAAAAAGGCGTTGGCCACCCAAAAAATAGACTATGGCAGCCATTTTTTTCAAGATCGCTATTTCTGTCAAATGCTAATTTTGTCAATCGTTCAAACAGTGCTGTAGGTATCACATTTTTGTGAAAATACCCTCTTAATAATGTTTCGTTTTTTGTCTTTTTTTCAGGATGGCAACTGTTTTTTTTAAGATGGCCGCCATTCATCTTTTTTTCAAATGGTGATGCTATCATGAAATTCTGTACAAATATTCTTTAAAGGGGGGGTTGATTGCGATTTCACTTTTTTCATTTTAAATAGTGTGTAATGTTGCTGTTGGTGTAATGTTGCTGTTGGAAAAGTATCTGCAAAGTTGCAGCGCTGAAAGTTCAATGTAAGCAGAGATATCGTCTTTTAAAAATCAGGAAGTTGTATGCCAAAAAAGACTCGATTGGGACTACAATGGGTTTTATAAGTAACTAACCCACACATTTGCATCAACCCTCCCTACGGAATATGCAAAAAAGGGCATGGCCATATATATATATATATATGAAGAGTTCAGATGCAAAAGCCTCTAAATGCCATTTGAAATTTTCTTCTTTAATGATGATTTTAATCAAACTTGTAGTTCAGTAATTTCACTTAAATAACAATTAATAGGTAATTATCATTGCCATTTAAGTGAAATTACTGAACTTAAATATACAAGCTTGATAAAAATGATCATTCTAGAAGAAAATTTCAAATGGCACTTAGAGGCTTTTCCATCTGAACTCTTCATATTTATATATACATATAAAATATTTATAGAAATAATAGCATTTATTAAGTATATTGATCATACAATCTCAAAAGATGAGTTTGATTCCTTTTGATATGACCCCTCACATGTCCTTTCATAGTTTATTAATTTGGCGTTTCTAGCTTTTTTTCAGGTGGAACAATTACTTACTTGAAAAATAAATATAAAAATAAATATTTTCCATCCAAATCTAGTGGTGCACTCATTCAACTTCTACAACTTTTACAGAAACACCAGTTCAAAAGCTGTCACTGGGACGGTACCTTTTCATAAAGTAACACCTAATGCACTTCCCTTTACCCATACCTTTTCAAATGGAACTACCCCAGTGAAAGCTCTTTTTTCCCCCCTGAGATTGTTTGGTAACAGATTTAAACCAGATTTAATCTAAACCATGAACACACCAAAGTAGATCTCAGCAGCATTGGACAACACAAGTGTACAATTTTTCACCCTGACAAAGACAGCATCTCCTTTGTAGAGATGAAACATGCCGCTGAGGAAGCTGTTGTCTATGAGTCCCGGCTTCTGGAGTCTAGGATGAATCCTAGAGGACTGGAGAAGCAGAATCTCACCCCCATATCGATCTGTAGTCCGCAGTACAGAGTGGGTGCATGTGAATTTATCCTCACGGAAGTGGATCTTAGAGTAGACGGAATAATATCCCTCTTTCTCCATGACGAGTTTTCCCTCTGCTGGATTGAATTTGACTTGGTGGAGGATGGATTCATGATGCTTATTCCACAGCACGACTCCATTAAAAGTTGAATTACCAGCTACAAGGGAGAGGACAGCATGAGCGTCATGAACATTAGCACTCAAATGTTTCAGCACTTGACTGAATTTATGTTTCTCATGATTCTGAAGCAAAAGTAAATCTAGCTAACAAGTTTCTGACATACGTTTGTGTTACTTCAGTTCTGATTACTTGGAAATATTCATTTAGACATTGGATTGGTAGTGTTGATTGTCAGTAATGCCAAATAAACGTTGAAATGACGCCAAACGTCTAATAATAATAAAAGCTGTGAAATTACTTGTCAGTTGTGCCATTGGTTTTGACGGCTTCATTTCTCCAAGATGTTTGTGTTTGCTGAGTGCATCTTCTTTCTCTATAAAAAAGCATAAGTTTACCATAGATTTAAGCACAATCTGATATTCTTCACATGCCATATTTAACTAGAATTTTAAAAATGTAAAATAATGTAAAGCATCGAAGTAAACTTGTGACAATACAGTTAAGTGATCTTTACCTTGTTTACTCATGGCAGTCTGAGGTTCATGTGGAGTGGTCTGAAAGGAGAATAATATAAATTTAGGAATTCACTTTGAGTCTATGATTTTTTTAAATTATTGTCAGAAAAATATTACAATAATGTATCATGGACTGCTGCTTCTGCGGTCTTCATAGCAGCAAACTCCTGCACTTTATTTATTGTAAAATAACATAAAATAACAGTTCATAAGCATCAACTCTACATTTTCTGGCCCAGATAGCACACGTCTTGTTTCCAAATAGAAAATATCTGTTGCAAACTCTTAAAAAAAAGTATACTTCAAGACAGTTTATTTTATTTAGAATAATTAAGTAATTTTTTTAAAGTATAGTAAGTAAACTAATATAAGTGTACTAGTAAACTTGTAAGTGTACCATTTTTCATACTGATCAGGACTAAATTGGCCCACTTTTTGGTATATTATTAGAAAATACTATATAAGACAGTAAACATGAACTAGTTCACAACTATATGTTTCTCATTTGTACTGCGTCTGTACTACAAGTGACTTATAAGTATACAAGTGACTTACTAGTAGTTTACTATTTAAATACTTGTGGTAATTTTTATTTTATTTGATAAAAGTACACTTTAATGTACTCTACGAGTTTAGTCGTTTTCTTTATAAATCAATATTTTTAAACAATGTAAGTTTTTAAGAAAGTATGTGAAAATGGTAAAAACTGAACTCAAAAAATAGGCTAACCAATCAAAAGAATAAACACAACTACAGGCCAAGTATACTTAAAATACTTACACTTTTAAAAGAAAAGATCGACAAGTATAGTCCAAATACATTTAGACTTTTCTGTATATGTAAGTCAAGTATACTTAAGTGTAATTATAAGTATATATTTCTAAGAAGTAGCCTATGTATATTTCTGAGAAGTATAAAAAAAAGTAGACTGAAAGTAGGCTACTTTCTGTTGTTTGTATTTTTGTTTTTGTTTAAAAGAAGTAAACTAATAGCACACTTGAATAAACTTTTTTGTAAGGGAACATCAGTTAAGCATATTTTAAATAGCAGTTTTACATCTTCAATACATCTTCTAAATGTCTATATAATAAACGTCTTAGAGACGTATTGCAGATCTAAAAAAATACATGTTCCACATGAAATGTCACATCAAGGTATAGCCTATGTGTGCTATGAGGATATAATGCTTCATATTTAACTACTTTTAACATTTTTATTCAATAACGGTTATTTATTTGTTAAAAACAAAATTAGAATTTTAGTATTAAGTCGGCATGAAATGAAAATTAACCCTATTTGTTTTATAAATTCATTCTGATCTTCTTGTGAATGATTCATCACATTTTTTTTTTTTTTTTTTTTTTAATGTCATAACTGATCTTCCAGTGAAATCATTTAGTGCTTTAACTCGGTCCCTGTAAGCTCACATTCATCTGTATCCACATTTGAGGGCAACTTCCACATTTCAAAATCCAATCAACAACCAATGCAACGAAGCAAGTCGCCGCCCTACAGGTTTTATTCTCCCGGATGTGTCGCCACTTCCGCTTAATCGCGACTTACTGGAACACATTTTACACTAGCTATACAACTTTTTAGTTTTTAAAAACTTTATTTAAAATATCCCATAAAAACGGTTTGTTTAACAAAATGACATTTGGGAACACTTCTGAAACTCAATTATCAAACCGCCTGAACTGACTACATTTCTAGAGAGCTTATTACATTATTATTTTTTTAAAAAGCAACTATATAATGTTCGCTTGGTTGTGAGGCTGTGTATAATAATAAATAATGTGCATATAAACAGTGATGTATAGGTTTTACGTTATCAAGAACTGCTCTGTTAACCGAAAAATGTGAGTGGTTACTTGAATAGTTATCAATAGCAAGACTTGCCATTCAAACATATAATTTCCTCTAGTTAACATAATTTGTGTCACACTGCTATATCAGATCAGAAAACAGGTCAGGTCAGGTAACCACAGCTCGCTAGGTGGTTTGAGCAACGCCAGATCTGTCCAGCTACATTTCTGCAAACTTCACGTAAAGGGAGGAGCCTGACAAAAACGTGTGTGTATTAGAGTATTTGTAGACTTAATATCTGCCAACACTTTATTTTGATGCTCCTCAACAGACATTCTGCTGACTATAAGTGACTTTACAACTACATGTCAACTTATTCTACTAACCTGAACCCTAAACGGTCCACTAATACTCTAATGAGAGTTATTCAACACACTGTTTAACTTTTAAAAAAAAAATGAAGTAACCTGGTTGCCTTAAAACTTGACGTTCATTGAAATTGAAAAATTGAGTTAATACAATGAAGGAGATTGAAACAATGAAAGTTATCTGGACCACATAAATTATCTAAGTTGATTTGACAGAAGAAAAAAACGTTATGATAACAAATCATGATTTTTTTTTTTTTACAGTGCATGTACCATAGTTGCAATTTTAATTGTTTCAGGTAGCTAAATGTTACAGATCAACCAGAATGATAAGTTGTGATTGGACTGGATGGTACTTACAGGCTGTTCTTTGGTTGAGTACAGCCGGTAGATGAAGCAAGCCTCAACGGTCAATCCACACAGAGCCAGAATGACCAGGATCCCCAGCAGCGTCTGGGTCCGCTTCTGCCGCTGTCTATAGCCAGGTTTGGGCGGCAGCGGAGGGGGTCTCGTGGGGCTGTCCACCACAAACACCGAAGGATACGAAATTTTACCTGTAGCCATGTGCAAACCGTCTCTGGCCACGTTAAAGATGACAACTGCACATCCTGAGATGTGCACTAAGACCCAGTGCAACACAATGAGAGCGAGACCCACTGTCAGAGCGAGAGATAACCATCACTCATAAAACCCTACAAGTGGGCGGTTGATGCATGTGAGCCAAAAAAAACTGTCAGACCACTCTCAGAATCTGCATGCAAACCTGTAATGCTATCTCACGGATTGGTTAAAGCAAAATCTGCAAGTGGCGAAGAAAAACGTGCAACGTTTAAATCCAATTTGGTTTCAGAATTAATGGTAAAAAGCCATCCTTCAGACTGACATATTCCGTTTGGGTCTGAGTAGGTTGGAAGTGTAATCTACAATGGGATTTGGTAAAAGACGTGGTACAAAAGCCTACACAAGTAGCATTTTCAGGGCCATGCAACTGGCCCACCAATTCACACCTTCCTCTCTCCTGTGCATATCAGCTCACCGCCACAGCTTCCCGTCCCACACAGAACTCACACCCTTCTTCAGTTTAACATTTACGCTGTGTTCAAAACCCTGTGGTCAAAAATTACCTTTTAAAAATAGTTTGTTATGCATTATTATCACCGAATATTGGATTCAAACTTGTTGGTTTTGTATTTATTTTTGGAACTGATAAATCATAGGTCTCATTGATCTGAGAATACACCTCAGTTTTTGAGTGAAAAAAGCATGATTTTGGGATTATTTTTTCAGTATTCATCAAAATATGGAAACATTTGTACTATTTATCACACTAATGTTCTTTAAAGTCCCCATTAATTCAAAATTTACCATACTTACTTTGCCTAAATTGATTGTTTTGTGGTGAACAATAATTGTATAAAAAGAAAGTTTATGTTCGTCATAACATTCCTTTGTGGAACAAAGCTGGCGAACGATCTCCGCTTCAGCGCGGATTGAGTGAGGAGCTCCTGGTCTCTGCTTCGTTCCAGTTTGCAGACATCTGTTTGTCCTTTCTTTGTTGATGACGAACATAAACTTTCTTTTTATACAATTATTGTTCACCACAAAACAATCAATTTAGGCAAAGTAAGTATGGTAAATTTTGAATTAATGGGGACTTTAAAGAACATTAGTGTGATAAATAGTACAAATGTTTCCATATTTTGATGAATACTGAAAAAATAATCCCAAAATCATGCTTTTTTCACTCAAAAACTGAGGTGTATGAGCATGTACATGTTTTCGACGCGTACGTTACACGTCTCATCCTGACGTCATGTGTCTTTCCGGAATCTTTACGGGTTGTGTGTGAACGCACTCACAGATCCCGGCAAATCAATGGCAGTGTGAATGAACCGAAATCAAACAATCCCGGGATAAATGCTGGGTCACATTATACGTGTATTTTCCGGAATCTCTGTGTGAAAGGGGCTTTAGTGTTCCTGGTTAAAATTGACTGGCCTACAAATATATATATATATATATATATATATATATGGTCACATGTACATATGTGAACATGAATATGAAAATGCTTCTAAACACTATATTTTCAATGGATGGCCATTTTTGACCAATAAGATCAAAGAGGCCAACAGTCAGTCAGTTTCATTTTATAAACGTAGTTAAATAAATACAGAACCGGTCCTAATAGAAAGAAAACAAGTTGACAAAAAGATTAAATCCAATATTTAGTAATAATATTGGATAATGAGCGATTTATAAGCTATTTTTTGACAGGGAACATCACATGTGTGACAATGCCCAAAAAGTACAAGAATTATCCCAAACTTTTGGGGTAGTTATACTCCGTTTGAGCAAAGTTAGTAAGTCCTATAGTCCAATGTAATAAGATTAACTAGAATTTTCAGGAAAAATAAAATCTTCTCCAGGTTAAAATGACCCGAACACAACATAAGGGTTAAGTAACTAGGTTGTAGAAGAAAGACATTTAAAAACACTTCACACATTTGCTATGATGTGTGATTGGACAATGGCCGTTTTGGGGGAGGGGCCGGTGAAAGGTCAATTCCAGTGGTACTGGTGGATTTCCGCGGGAGATTCGAGCATGTCTTTTATGTAATTACGTAGAAGAGTCATGGCTAGTCGGCTATATTGCGTGTGAGGATGTTGGAGGTGGAGATTTATAGCCTTTTCTCACAGCACTTGATATTATTAAACTTATCAATTTGATGGCGGATCCAGAAAGGTTAAAAAGACAATCACCCGCTGTAACTGGAGACTCACCCGATGCAAAATGCAAAAGGATTTTGGAGTGGCTAGAGAAAAAAAGAGACTGCAACCGCAACCAGACCCATGCGAAAACAAGGATACATATCGGAAGTATAATTTGCACGGTTTTGCGTGATGATAAGCAATTTAATCAGAGCAATTTACTGCAATGTCAGAACCAGAACAAAGGTGGGTGTTACTTACTTGTTCAGATGACATTTTCCGGTGAAAATTATTATGTTGGCCATACTTCCAAAAATAATAATCTGTGATTCTGAACGCCAGTATCCACACCGGCGCGGTGACTGACCGCCTCACACTCTCCTCAAACATCGTGTTCATCCACGCTGTGCCTTGTCGAGGGTGCCGAAGCACAACTAAAGTTGATAATTCCGTGAATGACTGCAATTGCAGATTTCGAACAGAGATGGCGACAAAGAAGAAAAACTGCGGACTGCAGCTTTAAATAATTACAGTTTGAATGTCAGCCCAACCGTGCTTGCTTGACGAGTGAAAACAAATCTTATTGGTTCTCGCACATGATGCGGCAAGATCACTTTATATTAAATCGTTTCAACATATAAAGCGATTTTGTATGTTCAGAAGGCTTGAATTACACCTCTCAATTCATAAGGATTACTTTTCCAATGTCTCTGGGAATCTTTAACCTTTACAATTTTGGATAGGCAAAAATGAGAAGAGAATTGTAAAAAAAAACAAAAAACATTTTTACTAAGAAAGTTACATATAAGCATTAATATTACATTGCATTACTTCCTGAAAAAGTAACTAATCAGGTTACTCAGTCACTTTTTGTGAATGCATTATGTTACTTTATCTTTGAATAATCTTTATCTTTATCGTTTTTGTGCGAGTGAGATGAGGAAATACTTGGTCACATTTATCCCAGAGTAGGCTAACATAGAATTCATAAGTGAACTATCCCTTTAATTGAAATGTTGCATTGTATTTTACAGTTTGACAATGCACACCAAAGCAAACCATGCTATCATGATTTGTATAATCTTCTAGATCAGTTCATAGACCTAACTAAAATAAAACCTCTTCTTGAAAGGTTCATTTTCTGTAGGCGAATTGTTTATGTTATGTTCTAGTTAGCTTACCTAGTTATGTTCTCATTGCAGGGTGTTCTGTGTGACAACCACGTTAGAGCCATTCGATTAGAACACTGTGGTTTTATTTTCCTAATTATAAACAATAAACATTCCCAGAGCGTTGCAGAAAAGTTTGTTTTTTTTATCACTGGCATAGTAGGCCTACAGCATTTAATTAAATTAAGACATGAAGATCACAATTTACTCTCCACGCAATTTATAGCCAAAATTCAGCCTAACTAGACCTTTCATTCGATCACTTCAAATGGTCCAGGACCGTCCCGAGAACGTATAGCCTGTGCTACAAGTAAACGTGTCTTGCAATAGAAACATTGAGCACCAAAACACTAGAACAACAAATGTACTGCGATGCAACGAAACAAGCGCGCGTTGACGCTCAAATCTTGACGTCGGAACCCAACAGACAAATCAACGAGGCTGTTTGCGCGTTTTACGCGACGCGGTAAAACTATAACGCGTCTGTTATCAACAAAGCTGTCAAACTTCAAACCCGGCTGTTTTGTCACTGCAACTACACGAGAGTCCAAAACAACGCGCTTACAGTGTGGAAGGCAATGTTCGCGTCTAGTTCTGTCGCGTCGCTCGCAGTGTTTGAAACAGCTGCTCTAGTGTGTTTATGAAGAGCAAAGTTATGGAGCGGTTTAAAGCGACGCGTCTCGTAGTGTGTTTGCTGCTCTTTCTGACGCTCTGCGTGGATTTGGGATACGAATTCAGAAAGAATAAGGACACCGAGTTCACTTTCCTTCTTCCTGCCGGAGCAACCGAGTGCTTCTTCCAAACAGCCACTAAGACCGGCAGCTTAGAAGTGGAGTACCAGGTCAATACCTTTTTTTAAATTAAACTATTAAAAAATATATCTTATTTAAAATGATCTTTAAACGAACTCAAGAGAAGCCAGACTAAAGAAATAAGGAGTCGGCAAAATTGAGAAAGTAACTTGTCAAAATTGTTGTGTTTGCCGTTTGCTAAGTTAAGAATAGCTTTTGCTTATCATTTTATTAGTAACTCTTCTGCATTACATGCAAGTTTGCTTGACAGAAATGACCAGGAAGGACTTTTCCTTTCATAGGTGTTTTGGTCAAAGTGCATGAGCTACTGTATGAAGCACTAGGCTAGTAAAGATACAACACTTTACAATAAAGTTTCATTAATGTTAATTTCAACATTTACTAAAACATTATTAAAATCAAACGTTGTGTTTGATCATATTATTTAATGGACATGAGCAAATGAACAGTTGTATTTTCTAATAACATGTTACTAATTTAACAAATGCATTGCTCATTGCTAAACAGCTTGTGCTTGGTTTGGTTTCATGCATGAGGATCTTGCTCTGGTGGGAAGTTCAATATTATTGACATGATCATAGTCAGTTGCATAGCTACTTGAGCAAACCACTTTTAGTCATCTTTCTTTAGAAATCACACACAGTAGCTATACTGTCTTTTGGTTATTCCTGTACAGCCCTGTGTTGTACTTGTAACCCTCCTCCTCAGGAGCTTGTCTGGGGTGTGTTTACGTTAAAAGCAGGCACAGCTGCGGGACAGCTGACCCGACCCAAAGCTCATGTGCCGGAAGGATCAGAGTGTCTCCATTGCTGCATGGTTGCTGTTGCCACACTTAATCTCTAGTGACGCCGGCTCACTGGCTCCTCATTTGAGCTGCTTTATCAGGTGGTGGAAGATAAGAGACCTGTTATTTGAATTTGGGGGGAAGAGGGACACGTGAACGAATCATAAGGGCAGGGGTTGAAGTCTTTGAGAGTTTGCTCATTTAAGTATGAGAAATGTTGGTGTGACAAATAATCCAAGACTTACTCATAACCTGTAGTGATTGACTGATACATTGGTGGATAAATTGGCCAATATTTGATCATTTTGAGATGACTTGACTCGTCATTGGCCAACTTGGTCTGCTCTTAAATCTCCTGACTGCTTTGTCATTAGTTAGATAGTCCATATTTTCTTATGCATTACTTGTGTATTTTTATTAATGGACTTACTTCAAGAATGGACTTATTTAAAGATGTAAATGTAAAATGTAATTTATATATGCGACCTTGCATCACAAAACCAGTCACAAGTAGCACGGGGATATTTGTGGTAAAGACCCATTGTATGGGTCAAAATGATCAATTTTTCTTTTATGCCAAAAATCATTAGGATATTAAGTAAAGATCATGTTCAATGAAGGAATTTTGTATATTTCCTACCGTAAATATATAAAACAATTCCAGATTTTCAAATATTGTCCTATCATAAAAAACATACATCAATGGAAAGCTTATTTATCCAGCTTTCATGTGATGAATACATTTAAATAAAATTAAAAAAATTGACCAATGTTTTGTGATCCAGGGTCACACACACACACACACACACACATATACATATATATAAATCTTTTATTAAAAAAAACATCATTATTATAAAAAAAAACTGCTTGAATGCTTATTAAGATTTGAAAAAACTTTTTCCACCAAATTAAACTGATTTAAACCAATATGCCGAAAAGAAAAAAAAAAAAACATAACATAGGAAATGTTTATCTGACTGTGTGTCGAGGTCAATTAGAAAATATTTTAGTTTAGAATGTCAAATATTATCATGCGGTGTGACTCCCCAAATATCATAAATATCATAAATAACTTATGATATTTGTTAAAAAAATATATTCATTGCATTAAAATGTATATAAACTTTACAAACAATTAAGGTGTACACATGTATTAAAGGTGTGAGGTAAATATGTTATTACTTTTCACTTAATGGTTACATCACATGACATTTTTAGAGTGATTAAAGTCTCCATGAAATCAAAATGGACATTTCTTGTTTTTATTAATGGAATATTGCAGTATTCAATGTAAATAATATACACGTGCACGTTGTTATTTTCATTTAAATTCAAAATAACTTCCCCTCCTCTTCTCTGATGATGTGTTTACTGAGGCGGGACTCAAATGAGATCCACCAATAGTAAACCACAGCCATCCAATAATTTCCCCCTGGACAAAATCAAGCTCCGCCCTATATTTTTTTTTAATGATCAAGAAGCCGTTTCACTCAGATATACGCCATAAAAGTAAGCAAGACTACCACAACTTCCATTTCACGCTGAATTCAAATTTGAAACCATATGAAACCACCGTTATTTTAAGCTAGATTTTTTCTTTACTGTGGGCACTTTTTTTTTCATTGTGCAAACAAATGCATTAATCAGGGCCAATTTAGTTTTTTTGTTTATGTTTTATATTAACAGTATTACACATACTCATACATACCCACAACAAAAATTTAGGGTGGGGTTTGATTTTGTCTATTGTGAATTGATTGGTGGATCTCATGTGAGTGACAGGTTGCCCCGCCCCCACGACAGTAAACACATCATCAGACAAGAGAGATGTAGCTAAAAGAGTGAGGGGAAATTATTCTGATTAAAGATGTGCACAGATAAATCATTTGCTGTAAATAAAATAAATAAAAAAAATATTTTTGATGTCATTAAGATTTGAACCTCTCTTAACCCATGTGTGTATGTGCAGGTGATTGCAGGCTCAGGGCTAGACGTGGGATTCACTCTGATCTCCCCCAGTGGATACAGACTGGTCTCAGACTTCAGAAAATCGGACGGCATCCACACGTAGGTTTCACATCCCGTCGTGCTTTGAGCTCAACCTTCACACATTATTCACATGCAGTTAGTTTCGGACCGTCATAACCCACCAGATTTGCATGTCCTCTGCTGCAAATTTGCATGCTGTTTGCAAGGCTGACAGTGACCACATCGAAACTGAATTTAACAGTTGCCTGTAAATGCTGTTATCACTTGCCTCATGATGTTTCAAACCTGAATGACTTGAAAAGAACAGATTTTGAAGAGTTTTGGTTTATCAAAAAGTTTTGGATTCATTGAGTTCTATTGCATGGACGAAAACAACAACAAAAAAAGAGACGTTTCTAAAAATATCTTCTTTTGTCTTATGATCCAACACTTCTCTGTGTCTTACAGTTATGATGTGCATTAGAGTAATCTTGCTGTGTCTGTCAGGGTGGACCCCGCTGAGGAGGGCGACTACAGGATTTGCTTTGATAACAGCTTCAACCGTCGTTCAGAGAAGATGGTGTACGTGGAGGTGATCGTGGATGGACCTGAAGAGGAGGCGGATGATGAGGAAGACTGGGCTGCTCTGGCTGAACCAGAGGACTCGCTGGAGTACAAACTGGAGGATATCAGGGTACACCAACCATCTCTTTATTCGGTGAACCTGATTTCACCAAGTCCAACATGTTCCTGGATCAATATCTTTGCTGATCCTGGAACAACATCTTAATCCACTAATCAGATTTGAGGGATAAGTTTACAGGTTATGTCAAGTTTAGGCTTACAACCAGGGGTAGGTGCTTCTGATTTTATGGATATGTCATGGGTAGGGTTAGATCAGGGTAGGGATAGGGTTAGGACTGAATTTTCAGACAGGAATGTTGTTCCAGGATCAACAAAATATGTTGATCTAGGAACATATCTTACTTGGCTAAATCTCGGTGAACAAACAGGCCGATGAATGAAGAGGGTCACCGTGATTTTGCCAAGTAAGATATGTTCCTAGATCAACATATTTTGTTGATCCTGGAAAAACATTCCTGTCTGAATATTAAACCCTTTTGTGGTGGCAAAACATATAATGCAGTGCAATAGAGACGAACAAATCAACTTTGTTCAAAAGCATGATGTTACATAGTTGATACTCACATTTTAGCATGATTTTGCAAAAAAATAAATAAAAAAGTTGTTTCAGTCCAGTAAATTTTCTCACATTTACTTTCTAAAAGTCTGAAAATATTTCACAACAAAAAGACCACAATCTGAAGGGCAACATTTTAAAAATGATACTAAAAGGCCTTTTACTTGCTGCTCTTCACTTGCCCCTCTAATCACTGAGATTATTCGCTCTTCCCTAAGCTCCGGTTCAGTCCCCCCCTCACTTAAAATTGCCTCGGTCACACCCATTCTGAAAAAAAACAGGTCTGGACCCCACTAATTTTAGCAATCTCCGTCCCATATCGAACTTAACCTTCATATCCAAAATTTTGGAAAAAACAGTCGCCTCTCAACTTCATAATCACCTCATGTTGAATAGCATCTATGAACAGTTTCAATCAGGCTTCCGTCCCCTTCACAGCACTGAAACCGCACTCATTAAAATTACAGACGACCTTCTTATGGCTTCTGATTCTGGGTTACTTTCAATTCTCATTCTTTTGGACCTCACTGCAGCTTTTGATACCATTTCTCATCCCATCCTCCTCAGTCGATTATCATCTATTGGTATCACCCACACTCCTATAGCTTGGTTTACTTCCTACATTTCAGATCGGAAACAGTTCATACAACTAAAAACCCAGAAATCCGTTACCTTCCCCGTCTCCGCTGGAGTGCCCCAAGGCTCTGTATTGGGGCCTCTCCTTTTTATCATTTACATCCTCCCTCTTGGTTACATCCTCCGTAAGCACAACATCAAATTTCATTGCTACGCGGACGACACCCAGCTCTACCTTTCTACTAAACCATCTTCTTCACTCCCACCAACCTCTCTTACCCTCTGTCTCCAAGAAATTCATTCTTGGTTTTCCTCTAACTTTCTCAAACTGAACAGCTCAAAAACCGAAGTCCTCCTGGTGGGCACACCTCATACCCTCTCCAAAGCTAATAAAGTTTCCATTACCATTGATAACTCAACTGTCCTTCCCTCTCCCCAGGTTAAGAGTCTGGGTGTCGTCCTTGACAGCACTTTATCTTTCCACTCTCACATTAATAGCATCACCCGGTCAGCCTATTTCCACCTGCGCAATATTGCCCGCCTCCGTCCCTCTCTTACTCCCAAAACCACCGCCATCCTGGTTCACAGCCTCATCACATCTCGGTTAGATTACTGCAACTCACTTCTGTTTGGCCTCCCTAATAAGTCGCTCCGGAAGCTGCAGCTCCTACAGAACTCTGCTGCACGCCTGATTACTCAGACCCCCATTTCTCATCATATCACTCCCATCTTGCAACAGCTTCACTGGCTTCCTGTTAAACAGAGGATCATTTTTAAAATACTTCTCATCACCTTCAAAGCAGTTCACAACATGGTTCCTTCATATATATCAGATCTTCTCCATTTAAACATCCCTACTCGTTCACTCCGATCCTCTCACACCTGCCAGCTTTCTGTTCCCCCTGCTCGGCTTGTCACAATGGGGGGCAGGGCTTTTAGTCGCTCTGCTCCCCATCTTTGGAATTCCCTCCCTCCAGATCTTCGTACCCTTGACTCATTTAATGTTTTCAAATCCAAACTCAAAACTCTGTTGTTTAGACAATCATATTCCGTCTGACCCATATCACACCAATGCTGTCTTGCCAATTTTATTGTTTTGTTTTAATGTTTTTTTTTTTTTTTTTTTTTTTATCTGCGTTGTACAGTGTCCTTGGGTGTCCTGATAAGGCGCTTTAAATAAAATGTATTATTATTATTATTATTATTAAAAAGGTAGAAAATATCAATACATATTTTTCAGCAAAGTTTTGGTCATGTTGATCATTTAGGGGCCGATTGAGCTATAAAGCAACTCTACAGAAAACAATCATTATTCAGCTCAATTCAGTTTAAAGGAGTAGTTCACTTAAAAAAAAAAACTTTTGATAAAAAAAAAGCTGATAATTTACTCGCCCCCCATGTTATCCAAAATGTCAAAAAGTCTTTCTTTCTTCAGTCGAAAAGAAATTAAGGTTTTTGATGAAAACATTCCAGGATTTTCTCCATATAATGGACTTCAATGGGAACCAAACGGTTCAAGGTCCAAAAGAGAGTTTCAGTGCAGCTTCAAAGGGCTTTAAACGACACCAGATGATGAATAAGGGTCTTATCAAGCGAAACGATCGGTCATTTAAAAAAATAACTAAAAAAGTTTTATAAGCACAAATGCTTGCTCTGTTCTGTGATGCGCGTTCGTGACTCTCCTGTGCGTCATTTCGTTCATTTTGTTTGTTGAATGAACCAAATGACTCGAAAAAAGTTCATTTTGATGAACGAGTTCGAACAGGAGAGTCACAAATCTACGTTTCACTAGATAAGACCCTTATTCATCGTCTGGAATTGTTTAAAGCCCTTTGAACAGTTTGCAGTTTGCACTGAAACTCTCATTTGGACCTTGAACCGTTTGGTTCCCATTGAATTCTATTATATGGAGAAAAATCCTGGAATGTTTTCATCAAAAACCTTAATTTCTTTTCGACTGAAGAAAGAAAGTCATGGATATCTTGGATGACATGGGGGTGAGTAAATAATCAGCAAAAGTTTTTTTTTTTTTTTTAAAGTGAACTACTCCTTTAAGTTATGTTTTTAGTCAATATTGTCAGTGCAGCCGAATCAATAATATTATTGGATATTAAATGTTTCCAAAATGCCTTTTATGCTTGAATACATTTTTCCTCAAAGTTCTAGTGTGGCGCTGATCAGTTTTGCTCATTGAAATGTCCATGTCAAGTGTTTATGTTGTACTGTGACAACCAGACTGCAACCAAATGGCAATGTTATAAAATGGCTTTGTTGTGCGTTTTCTCACGCCACACAGGACACAATGGATGCCGTGCACAAGAACCTGGAGCGAAGCCGTCAGATGCAGGCGACGCTGCGGGCGTTCGAGGCTCGCGACCGCTACCTACTAGAGGATAACCTGTGGCGGGTTTCCTTCTGGTCTAGCGTCAGTTTGTTGGTCATGGTCAGCGTGGCCCTCACACAGGTCTACACGGTACGCAGATTATTCAGTGACTCACGCAGAGTCTGCACATAGCAGAGATGAACTGAGGGAAGATGCTGTAACACTCTATGCGCTATTAACGTAAAATACAAACTAAAGGATTCTTGAAATGGAGACGCGAGAAAGAAAAAACATGTAGTTTTTAGAGATATCAATGAATCTGATATCTCTGAGCTTGACTCTGTTTTAATTGTAAGAGTTTTCTTTTGTGTGCTAAATAACACTGGTAAACACTATTTACTTGAAGTACTGCAGCAACATTTGAATGTGAATGTAATTTTGCACTTGACTGCGGTTCAAATAATTTATGAGACTTGAAGTGAATAACACTGCAGCAAATTGTGAGTAACATGTTTCTTATGGGTTTATACAGGGGTTAAATAAAGATCCAAGGGAACGTTTCGCTTCGAATGCTTTTATTATACAGCACATTAGCATCTCATTTGGAACAACTGCAGCTCAGTCATATGTGGCATTGTAAGTGCAAATAGAAATTAATTTAAAACTCATTTGGGTTATTGACGTTACATTTCAAGTTAATGGCTGACTGAGTTATTACTGTAATGTGGGAATCAGAATCCCATAACAATACTTTTAAAGGGATACTCCACTTTTTTGGGGAAATAGGCTCATTTTACAACTCCCCCAGAGTTAAACCATTTTCGAATCCATTCAGCCGATTTTCTGATATTTAGAAGAATATCAGTAACCAGACAGTTTCTGGTCTCATCGACTTCCATAGTAGGAAAAAATATATACTATGGAAGTCAATGAGACCAGAAACTGTCTGGTTACTGATATTCTTCTAAAAATCAGAAAAACGTCTGAATGGATTCGAAAACAGTAAAACTCAACTGTTTAACTCTGAGGGAGTTGTAAAATTAGCCTATTTCCAAAAAAAGTGGAGTATCCCTTTAAGACTGTTGAATCTCTGAGGTTTGATTCATTTTCAGTATTCCTAATATTCATCCATCACCCTACAACAATATACAAATATTCTCATTAAACTGACAAGCCTAGTAAAAACTATGTACAACAATATTCATTACAAACTGCCTATAAATAAAGAGTCCTGGAGTTTCACAGACATGATGCTCAGTTAATGATTCAAATATTCATCTTGCATATGCCATAAAAAACTCATTTATTCAGTAGAAATGTGTCACTAGTAAATCATGAAGTTAAATCATGAAGAGCCATTAAACAACCAGAATAGGAATATTTAAAGATCAGAAGAATATTATGATTCATCTACTGTCGCTGCATGTTTGACTCCAAACTTTCACAAATCCAAAGACATACTAATGTAAAGTTTGTGAAGTTCAATGTTGCAACACATTTAATATTTGCTATCAGTAACGAAATGTTGCAGACTAATTGTCAAATACTTCATTAGGCTGCTGAATTAAGCTTGAAGACTAAAGTCAAATTCTAACTAATAAACCTAAAACTTCAAATAGTGAATCCCTTTCTAAATGTTTCCAAAACATGCGCACAAATTCACTGTATCAGGGTTTATACAACAGTTCTGGTCTACAAATCTGATTGATTAAATGGCATGCTGGAACCATTTTTTTTTTGTGGCGTGTGTTTACGCAAATTTCATCTGTCTGTGTTCACAAATGGAGCACAACAGTTGGTTTAATGGTCATGATATATGCTCCTTTATTGGCCACAAATCACTTTGCTAAATCCCCAGTGAAGAACTACATTACCCATAATCTTAAAAGGGCAACCCATCAATTGGTTGCTCTAATCAGAAATCACTGGAAAAAAAACTTCAGCAGTGAAAAACAAGCATCATTAAAATATGTCACATGTGCCTTGTCAACCAATCCAGGATGAAGCCACACCCATAAAGTGTTGTGAATTACATCGCTGTTCTCTCTTGGATGTTGTATTTTTGTAGTCCAAAACCTTTAAACGACTTAGCATGTTAACTCTTTTGGATTCATCGTCCTGAAGTCAGTGGGTTTTGGTTAAATGCCTGAAATAATGTCTGGTGAACAAAAGCTCAAAACATTCTCACGTTTTATTCCATCGCATAAACGGTGATTACTAACATTTGGCTAGATGGGACTACAGTGGTTGTCAGGGACATTAAACACGACGAACAGACACACTCATCTACTTGCAACTCGCGTTTCACAGCCTCCTTGTGTTTCTAATCACACTCTTGCAAACTTTCAGGGAAAATATTATATAAATAAAGACTGAAAGAGTTGTGGAACGATTGTATTTAGGCTTCAAAATTCATAAAAGTTGGGTTAATTTGTCAAGATTATCACTAATGAGCTGATTTGTTTGGTCTAAGGCTCAGAACGGTTTATTATAATATTTATTAATTTTTTGTTTTAAATCTATGAAGAAAAAAATTTTAGAAAAATACTTCAGGAAAAGTAGGGGGTTCAGACAAGACTGTGTGATAGCTTACATGGAATAATCTCATCTTTGGTCAGCTTAGTAAAATAAAGTTGGCTTCTTTCTATACAAATTGATTGATATCCTTAGGAATGGGCATCATGTGATTATGATCTAGTAGAGCAGTCATACAGTACGGTGTGGTGGTGGTCCTCCTCCTGAGCACTGGATCAGCTTCAACACTGGTTCCGGCGGGGAGCTGGACGTCTGTTTAACAACCGCAACCAAAACCACACATCAGCTGGGAGAATTTCATTTATGTGATGTACACAGTATTTTTTACAGTAACTCAACAGGGTCTAATGAGGAATAAAGTGCTGAACTTTTCATTATAACTGTGTGAAGAAGGGGTTGGGTTAGATGCTGTGTATCAATATCTCAAATGCTGTGTTACTCATGGTCACATGCTGATGTTTGACACAACTAAACGTCTGACTAACGACATTGGTCATTCAGTCGTGGTCTTCTGTGATTTTTTATTTATTTTTTTTTACTTACACTGACATGCTCACGAGTCATACTGAGAAAGATAAATCAGCTTCACAGAGGAAGTAGCTGTGATGAAGCCATGTGGTTCTCAATCCTGTTTCTGAGACCTTTAACACTGCAAACGTGATTCATCACAAGCTCATTAGATGTTTAAATGCTCTAAACAGTATCATATGCATGATTAGATTAGAGCATGCTAAAAAAAAAATTACTTTCTTGTAGATTTATGAAGTATGATTTTTGGCTACCACTTGACCTATGAATGAGGAGTTTGTGGACGTTAGAAGACTAATGAATCAGCCTAGAAATAATAACTAATGTCAGCAATGCATTTATATCTTAAAGGAGTAGTTCAGTTTAAAAAAAAACTTTTGCTGATAATTTACTCTATGTCATCCAATATGTCCATGCCTTTCTTTCTTCAGTCGAAAAGAAATTAAACGCGGAACTCACCAAGCCGACGCCAACAAACTAAAAGTTAGCGCTGATGAAAGCCGTGTTGTCGCCTCTCGTCGAGGTAAGCCTGGAACACACCAAGCCTACGCCAACGACATAGCGCTGATGAAAGCCAACTGTGTTGTCGCCTCTCGTCTAAGTAAAAAGCTGCACTTGAACACACCGAGAGAACTACAGGCGACTGTCAGATATAATGTGCGTTCTGCGCCTGCGTGTAATGAGCCAACTGTCTATTTCTGCAGATTAGTCTATATTCGTCATTCAGAAAGGAAAACCGACGCTGCCGGTGTTCTGACGATTCATGCTACCCATCGAGATTTGCTATTTACCGTTATGCGCATGTGCAGACTCACAGTTGTTGTTGTTTTTTTTACCTATGACTAAACATATTTAGATATACGGGAAATCGCAATGGAAGACGATTTCGATATATCTAAATTTGTTTAGTGAAAGGTAAAACTTCGGAAATCTCCGTGTAAACAATGCGTGACATAGACGCGCGAGAGATCACTTCCGGCGTAACGTCTGGGGACGGTTCAGATCAGTTCGACGGCTGTTAAAAAGAGGTAAACACTATATAAATACTGTTCGTTTTCTCACACAAACCGATCGTTTCGTGTCTTAGGCCATCAATGTGTACTTACATTCACGAGTCATTAAATCAGGTTTAATTTTGACTTCTCTGTGCATGCTCTTTGAGATGGACCCCCTAAAACTGCATTATAGGACTGACAGACAACAACGGTTTGACCAAAAAATGTCTGTGGAAACAAAGACACCTACATCTTGGATGCCCTTGAGGTAAGCTAAAACATATCAAAAATTAATTTCAAAGTGAACCATCCCTTTAAAACACTTCCAATTGGCCACTGCGTTAACACCCTCAACATTATTTACTATACACAACACATACTTATTCAAAAGAAGTAGCAACTCCAGAGTATGTAATTTGGGATACTGTACCAGTCTCCTGAAGCAGGATTGAAAAACACTGGATTACACCAACAAAGAGTCTCATCTCACTACACCGGTTACATTTGATTTATTTCAATGAGAACACAAAGAGGAAGAGATGCATGCTAGGACAGACATGTCATGGTAAATCAAGGAGACAGTGAGGAGACGAGACACAAGGAAACACCGACCACCAGAGCACCAGATCTTTATTATACACAACACCTTTTATTATCTCACTTCTCATTGTGCATTTTGCTCCAAATCCATTTTAAATTGCTACACAGGCACTTGACAATTTGTTATTCCAAAAGCATAAAAAAGTCGTTAAATATGTCCTCGGTCCCTCACTCCATACAAAAGGACAGAATCATTAGAGGGAGAGACGGGGATTGGGTCACCTTAACCTTAAAGACCACAGGAGAGTTACGGCTGCAGTGATTTGGGCTCCATCCAGTTCAAAACAGATGCTGAAGACATTTGAATTTGGAAAAGATAAAGCTGCATACAATTTAAAAAGCCTTGAATTGACTGGATCGTGAAGAAAGAGTGTTGGTTGCCATCACTGTAGCCATAACACACAGGAGTGACTCAAGAGCATTTGGTATTTAAATCCACAGCTAATTTTTAAGTTTCACCTCAAGTCCGACTCAAAGCGTTCAGTTATTTACAGACATATTTGTGCTGAAATCAAACTCGCTTGCACCAAATCCCCATTCTTATCCTCAAGTTAATCAAGAAAACAGAATTTGTTGTGGCCCATTTCCTTGTGCGCACATCAATAAAAGCAATTCTGCAATCATATCCGGATCAATAGGAAACCAGCTGGACCGCTTTTCACTCTGAATTAACTGTAATTACCACAACCGACAGGGCACAAATCTATCGATAGCAAAGACTATCTGGCGTTCTACACAGTTTGTGAAAAATGCCATTAACACGAAGACGACAAACGCCCAGGTTATAAATAATACACGCGTGTTAGTACATCTACTATGATGCCTACATGAAAGCCTTTGTTTCACCGTCTTGGTGTCAGAAAGTTCCCTGTGTGTGTCAAGTTTGAACGGAGTGATTCCATATAGCAAACGCCCCACGACCCCAAATACACATACATGTACCATGTTCCGAGACCCCTCGTTTGAGTGCACTCCCACCTTCCTGATGCTTTTCCCGCTCATAAATCCCACTCCCCTGACCCTCATTATTCCAAGCGACATAAAAGCGTCCCCAGATTCGTTTAAAAAACTGTTGCAAAGATCAAAACGCTAAGCTACCAGATTTGGAGTCGGATGTTACCTGAGACGCTATCTTACAGAGCGATGACGGGTCGGCCCGTCGCCAAGTGGTTACCGTGCTTTCCAGGATTATATTCACATACACAAATTATTATTTGTATAAACAGATCATTACAGAAATTTGCATACAAATTGTGCCTGAAAAAAAGCCCCGTCCATGAAACCCACCGAATTCCCCTAGTAGGCGCTGTAGTGACGGTAGGGTTAGGATTAAGGTTGGATTAGCGCAATACAGCGCCTACTAGGGTCACCTAATTCGGCACAACACCAGAAACATAACAACGGCCAATTGAACATGAAAGACGAATGAAATCGGGTCAAAATAATCCCACATTGTATAATGGTAACGGTCATTGTGTCTTATTTCAGGATATCAAGTTAAGAGTCAAGAAAACAATGAAATCAAAAAACACATGAAGAAGTGTCCACAACAAGAAGGAGGTCTTCAACCACCCTTCAGTTAGCCAAGAACAGGAAGACGACAGGCTAGTTTAACAGCAACTAGCTTGCACAGTGCTTGTATGCATCTTATCCAACATTGAGCCACTAGTCAGTGAGGAGGCATGAGTCATCTAATGTTGGTTCGTCTACAAAAGTTGAGTAGGATACCCCCTGGTGGTCACCTGACCTATGTGAGTGATAAAATGACTGAAAGTTGGAGGCCACTACACCCTTAAAGTCACTCTATATATTTCAACAAAATAACAACAATAATAATAGTTATGTGCTTAATTTAGACCTCTGGGATTTAAAGGTAGGGATGTGATTAGCAGCGCTGATCAGAGGACAGTTTGAGTGGATTATTAAGGTCTATTGGTCAGGCTGTTCGTGTAGACGCGCACGCACGTTTCAGTGCAGCTCTCCAGCTCAAGCACACTATGGTGCCCGGCGCACGGGTCTAGTCTAGCAGGGAGGGCTCGGCGGGGCGGATAATGGTGGGCCGGTTTGGAGCGCCAGGGGGTCTTCTGCTGCAGGAGGAGAAAAGAGTGAGAAACAGGTGAGACATACCCACAACCACAGGGAAATGACTGAGGAGAAGGGATAAGGAATTATTAGGCGAGGCGATACGAGGAGGGATGAGAAAAGGCAATAGATAGACAAGACTAGACGAGATGAGAAAAAAAAAAGAGATGAGGAAAGAAAAAGTGACGAAGAGTTGAAAAGCGACGAGATGAGACTACTTGAGAGGTGATAAGTTGAGACAAAATTAGAAAATAAAAGATGAGGAAAGACGAGACTAGATGAAACTACAGGAGAAGAGAAGAGACTAGATGAGATGAGACTAGACAAGAAGAGATGAAAAGCGAAAAGATGAGGACAGACAACATGAGAGGAAATGAGACTAGATGAGAAAACAAAAAATGAGGTCAAGACAAGACTAGATGAGATGAGACATGAGAGGAGATTAGACTAGATAAATTGAGATGAAATAAGAAAAGATGAGACTAGATGAAACTACATGAGAAGAGAAGAGACTAGATGAGATGAGACTAGACAAGAAGAGTTGAAAAGAGAATAGATGAGGACAGACAACATGAGAAAATAAGACTAGATGACAAGATGAGACTAGACGAGAAGAGATGAAAAGAGAAAAGATGAGGACAGACAACAGGAGAGGAAGTGAGAAAAGATGAGAAAACACAAAAGATGAGGTCAGACAAGACTAGATGAGATTACATGAGAGGAGATGAGACTACATGAGATGGGATGAGGAAAGAAAAGGTGACTAGAAGAGTTGAAAAGCATTAAGATGAGATGAGACATGAGAGGACTAGATAAATTGAGATGAAATGAGAAAAGACAAGAATAGATGAAACTACATGAGAAGAGATGAGATTAGATGAGACTTGACCAAAAGAATTGAAAAGCAAAGAAAAGATGAGGGGAGACTACATGAGAGAAAATGAGATTAGATAAGGTCAGACAAGACAAGATGAGAGGAGATGAGGCTACATGAGACTAGATGAGAGGATATAAGATGAGAAAAGACCAAAGGAGAAAAACTGAGGTAAGAAAAGGTGACTAAATGAGCCTAGAAGAGATGAAAAGAGACTAAAGAAAAGTAGAAGGCGAGTAGAGGAGGTGAGATGAGAAGAGACAAGACTAGACGAGATGATATGAGAATAGATGAGATCAAAAGCTACAAGAGACAAGATGAGATGAGAGGAGATAAGTTGAGGTGAAATGAGAAAAGAAAAGATGAAGACCAGATTAAATGTAACTATATGAGATGAGACAAGATGAGGTGAGACGAGACAAGATTAATAGAGACAAAGAAGTTAGATGAGACCACATGAGAAGAGATAAGATAAAATTAGACTAGACCAGAAGAGAATGAACAAGAGATGAAATGAGATGAGAAGAGGCTAGATGAGACTAAATCGGAACAGACAAAAACAAGAGAAACTTGTTTTTGAGGCTAGATAAAAAAGAAAGAGAAAAGAAAACACAAGAAAGGACGAGATGAAAAGAAACAAGATGACATTAAACAGACAAAAACAGATGGGAAGAGACAAGTTCAGGACAGATGAGACAAAGCGAGAAAGCACGAGAAAAAATTCGATGAGAAGAGAAAAAGAAGAGTGGAAAAGATTAAAGGTGAAAAAATGAGAATAGAAGTGATTAGGAGAGCCAAGGCTAGATGAGACTAGATAAGAAGAGATGAAAGGAAGATGAGTAGAGACGAGAAGAAAAAAAAAAGATGAAATGAGATCAAAAGAGGAAAATAAAAACACTGGAGGGTTACCGGTAAGTAAGAATATGCTGAGAAAGAAATTAGGAAACAATTAGTTTGTGACAGGACAGAATGCAACTGTTAGTGAGAGAAGAATGACTCAAAACCTTGACAAACCAAGGCTTCTTAAGTTTTTCAACAAACGTTCACTCCTCTGAGCTTCATGCTTGTTCTCACACACACACAGACGAGAATACGTATCTCTTTGGAGGCGACACACTGGTTAACAGTCTTACCTGGGGACGCCCGGAGGGATACGGGCGGGGCGGGACGGGATCTGAGGAGGGGCACTGAAAGGATCCAGGCTGCTGTTACCGAAGGCATTCATGGGCTGTCCTGGCCGAGAGGGAATGGGCGGAGCTACATAGGCAGGGATGGGGTTTAGAGTGGGCGGGCCTGGTGTTGGACCTCTCACTGCTGGAGGCCTGCTGGGGGGCGGGGCCGATGTAGGCGGTCTGCGCTGGGGGGTGGGGCTACACAGGACAGGAAAAGAAGACATTTAGAATTAAAAAGGACCATACTCTAAAGCAGATAGTTCACCCCAAAATTAAACTTGGTATTGACTCATCTACATCGTTCCAAATCTCCATACAAAACGTATTTTTAAAACCATTCGAAATCGCGGGATGTTAATGTTAACAGCCCAATGCAAACACCCTTTTACTTTGCTTCAACCTTGTCAAACTTTATGAATTATTCTTTTATAGAAGGTTCAAGTGGTGTGTAAGGCAGTGTTGGGAAAGTTCACTAGTTCAAAGTTCAGTTCATAGTTCATACTTCAAAAAATTAACTAGTTCATTCACAGTTCTTTTTTTCTGTTTTGTCGACGACAGCCGCGGTGCGACACTGGCGTCTTGTGTTGCCAGATTGGGTGTGTTTTGCTATATATTAAGACCTGTTTATGTGTATTTTAGCCGGGTTTTCGCCTGGAAGGCTCTATAGAAATCTGGCACCCTACTGTACGAAGTCAAACTGAGAGAGCGTGCGTTCACAGACACCAGAATGAACGCGTTCACAGTAACGTTAATCAGGCAGTAATAAAGTACGTTCAGTTCACGTTCGCCCAAAATATGAACGCGTTCATGAACTATTGTTCATGGAACGCGTTCAGGCACAACACTGGTGTAAGACTTTGAAGCCAGCAGTTTCTAGAGCATGCAGTGTCATCTGATGTTTAAAAATAAGCTCAGAATCGATTCAGGAGAGAATAGCGATGGATTCGGAAGAAAATGGAATCGATTCGCGATGCATCGATTTATTGTCCCGGCCCTAATGAATGCGTGTAGCATCAAGTGTGTAGAATGTAATCCGGATGTACTACACCCGTTGTGTATTTGTTCTGGTGCGACTTCACAAGATGAGCAAGATACGTGGAAGAAAAGCAAAATAAATATTGGAGATCAAATTGGTCATTGTCATGTGACCCATACGGTTGCTTCGCCTCACTGCTATTGACAATTTCAGTCCCGTGAGCTTATGGGATAGTAAAGTGTCCATTGGATGTGTACTCACTGGAAGTAGGTCATTGCCTGAATAGTATGAATTCAGACATACTACTCATTTCGCCTACTATAATGCAGGAAAGTATGCGATTTAAAATTCAGCACTAGTATTTTTTGTAAGGTTTATCCCTTTCACTTACTACTAAATGAAACATTTGTGGATTAACGCGTACGGTTTCGCATACTATTTTTAAAAACAGTATACTAGAATTCCAGAGCGAACAAAGAAAACTACAATATGAGAATCTAATTCCTTCGCATCTAAGCGCATGTTGTTCATGTTCTAACCTGGACTCCGGCATCCAGCTGTCGTTCACGGGAGGAGGCACGGGCGTGGACACGGTGCTGGTGCTAATGTCTCCGATGATGCTGAGCGCCTCTTTGATGGCATGGTACATTCGCAGCATCTCGTCTCTGCGCTGGGCCTGGTCAGCAGACTCCTCCATCAGACTGTTCTGATCTCCTGAGGAGTACAGGTACGCCAGCAGCTCTGAATGGATGAAGTCTTTAGCCTGGGGAAAGAAAGAAAGGAGAACCATGTTTGCAATATATTCAAATCAATGAGTTTCAATAGGCATACAACACAAACGGTTGAGTACTTACGCTGTTGATCATGAGATGCATGATAGTCTTGGGCATGAGGTCTCGGATGGTCTTGTTGACGATACCAATGTAGGAGTCCACCAGGTTTCGGATGGTCTCCACCTGCCTCTCCAGCTGAGGGTCCATGGAGAATGTGTCGGCTGGGGCGGCATCTTCTGCCTCCACCTACACACACACACACACACACAATGAATGAATGAATTTTAAAGACAACATGAAACTCAAATTGATCTATATGCTTAATAAATGTACCGGTTTCTCATTGTGGTCAATACATTAGTGCGCACTATTCTTATAAATAAACTTTTCTTTTGTCTTTCATCAAATTGTAGTAACTTTCTCCACCTATAAAATAGCCTCTACTACCCTAACCAAAACCATGACACTAGAAAACATGACTCATGTGTGCCCATGTTAATGCTCCTTGTCCACAAAAGCTTTCCAAAAGTTGCTCATCCACACTGAAATGTCTGAAAAAATGCTTATAGTCCCCCTGTGGTGAAAATTCAATCTCCGAGTGTAGTTCTTTGCTCGTTTTTTAACAAAAAGGAAACGTTCAAATCTTTTAAAACATACGCGATAGCTGTTGTTCGACGGCGGCATCCATCTTTGTAAAGTAGGCCACAAAATCTGCTTCAAAATCCCAGCGCTGTCGTCATCGTGTAAAGCCCGCCCCAACGTTTCCGATTGGTGCCTCGATTTCGACGGATTAGAAATGGGCTAATTTTCAGAGAAAATCTAAATTTACCGGAAGTTGTCTGGGTTTTCCCAGTCTAGCAGTGAACCAAAGACAGTCTCAAAAACACGGTTTGAAATTGCTGGTGTTTCTGACGTCACAAACTACCTTGTAACCAATCAGGTCAACCTGCCGACAGGCTTTAGCAAATCATTAACAGCGAACTAGCAGGGGAGTCTCGAGAGATGCCAGGTTATATTTCGGGTAGATTTAGCAATATGGCGGGCGTATGATGTATATTACAATGTTCTGATGAACTATATGACTGACGTTCTGAGATGTTCAAATAAGTGTTCAAATGACACATTTGTACCTGATCTTTCTCAGGGTAAACACCCGCTCTGAGAAAAGAGGCTTTCCAGCTATCCATGTCCTCTTGTGTGTCACAGGCCAGCTCGATCTGACGCAAGTCCTTATACACGTTCCTGCAAGGGGGATCGAACACATGAAGTCACCGAACACCAAACACAAACATTGAGAGAGCAGTCGGCCCTGACCTTTGCTCAGTGTTGAAGATAGCAAAAATGTGCTTATTGGACATGAAGCCTTTCTCCATGTCTCTGAGCTTCAGGTTGTCCAGAGGGAGCATGTATTTCTTCTCTTTTTCCTATTAGAGTGAAACGAGAGAGAAAGAACAATGTTATAAAGCTCTGCGTGAAGATTCTTCTTTCGCAAAAAAAAAAGGGACAAAATGACGGGGAGTGAATGATGACCGGATTTTGATTTATCGAGTGAACTCTGTCCATTTAAAGGACCACCAGGTTGCCAAGCAAGAGAGGGGGATGTGAGACAGAGAGAGGGAAAAGAAAGAGAAGAGGAGGAGTCTGGATGAGGACTAATGCTGCCAACTCGTTCTGTTGCGTTGAGAAGCAGCATCTGGAAACGTTTATGTCTGCAAAGCTACGGCCCCAACAGTTACATCACTCAGAGGAACACTTCCCTGCCCCCAACACACACAGTAACCCAGTACGATTTCCTGCAAATTCCAAAGTCGGATCCCGGCTGGAACATTTCAGTGCGCTTGCCACGTCACTTTGCCTCCCCTTTCGTCCCGCTCTTCGTCTCTCCTTTCTCCATTTACCGCTTTCTCTTCGCTTCGGAAACCACCGCTAAAGGAACATTTCTCAGTGTTTCTCGTAAGGCGATGGTAAGAGGGCGAAAACCGCCAACTGTTTGCTGTTCAGATTGTGAGAAAAGAGCCATGATGGCAGAACGGTCTGGATTTCTCTTGAAGAAACGGCAGAGGCCTGGAATATACATTTGCCACGCAGCAAGTGGACTGGTGAGTATACCGAATATATACGTTTTAAATTCATTCGTAATGTAAAGATTATCAAGAAGCAACGCTGGGATGTGTTATTCTGACCGGTTTCATCATATTTTAGACTCATAATATATTTACTACAATTTCTTGTGAATATGTGGGCCAGTTTGAATTACTTGATTCTTTGTGTGCCTTCATTAACTCAGCACGGAAAGCTTTTTAAATGTACGCCCCCAAGTCAAAGGATATTATACTTTTGTATTATATTATACATATTATCATTAACATAATATGTACAGGTATTTTAATTTGGATTTTTTATTCCAATTATTTGCAATTCGACTTGTTATGATTTTACTGTATTATACTTTACAACTGAAATATCATTTTTTGTTCACATTACAATAATGGGGATGAGATTTTAGGAATTTTGATGATTAAAAAAAAAAGCTGTTGAAAAAGTTCTTAATGATTATATAACAACCTTCATTTACTTTACTTTTTATCGCTTTATATGAAATAAGCAGTGACCCGAACATGTTCTCGATGGGTTTATCAGTGTGCCTGTCTGAACTGTTTACTCTCCTCTGCAGTCGTGTGCGGTCCTCGGGGCAGTGACCTGCGGTCCAGCCGCCCTCTTGCCTCCCCCCCGCCTGCCCAGTGTTCAGACTACCTGTTCATCATGCTGCAGCTGAACAGTAGTCCGCACATTGGTTAGGCTGGGCAGGGACACACACACCCGCGCCTCGAGCAACAAGGACTCTGGCATTCGCCGCTGGACGGGGGGAGGGATTTTACGAATTCACAATCTCTCTTGGGGACTAAAGTAAGATGTGTACCTCAATGCGTTTAGCAGATGCTTGTATCCCAAAAGCAACTTACAGTATACATTGAGAAATATATGCGCTCCCTAGGAATGACGTTACCAGCACCATGGTCTACCAGTCGAGCCATGAGAACTCGTTTCAAACACGCATGGGGTTCTGAGTCCAATTTGAGTGGCGCTAAATCGAGAGGGGGAGGGACTGTGAACGAGAAATGAAGAACAGATGAATCTCACCTCCTCGTCCTTGTACCAGGACACCGATTCGGCCGACAGGACGAACCAGTACTCCTTGGAGCCGCCCTTCATGATGCTGATGTTGAGGGTTAGCCAGCCTTTACGGATCACCTGTGGGACAGGAGGGCGGGAATGGGGGAGGGTGTAGGGCATGCCACAAGGGTGGGGAAAAAAATTCATGAGACCATTCCACACACTTGTATATTCAACAGTCTTTGTGTCCTATGCTGAACCTAAAAACCCTATTGTGCCAACCTTCGACACTTACCTGCTGAGGAAATATTTTCTGGTACCCTGTCAAAACTTTTGTTGTTGTCATCACTTCTAACGACTAACCTGAACAACTAAATAAAGCTGCTTTGTACATTACAGTCGTGGTTCTCAACTGATTTAGCAACATTCAGGTGTGGCCAAATTGGCGAAATTTCATTGAGATTTAACCAATTGTCAATTGTTCATTATCAATTGTGTAGCGATCTATGAAGCAGAACTCGTAAAAAGGCCTTCTGAACTTGACGCATTGGCCAACTTGACCATAAGCAAAATCTGAGTGGGGAAATCTTTCGCCCTCAAGCGAAACTCCAGATCGCGTGGATTTAGTTAACTATAACAACCCTTTTGTGACTGGGCCGGTCGATCATATGCTTATTTGCGCTAATATTCACAATTCGCCTTGGATTTTTTTTCAAACCTGAGATGTTTAGGTTGCGACTCACCAGTTGGGAACCACAGGATCTAGCGTTAAACTACACGGAGTCAGAACATAAGGCAGTAATTAAAGCTTAGTCACAAAAGAAACGCTCCAGAAACCCTGAATAAACACTAACAAAACCGCTGGGGAGTGTCTTGAAGTCTTGAAATAGAGCAACAATAAAAGTACAAAAGAAAAACTTTGTTGTGTTTGTCGTTTCTTCCTGCTTTCAAAAGCAATGTGGAAATGTGACAGCAGATGCCATCCAGACCAACTGGCCTGCCAGAGGAGCGGAGGTCAGAGGTCGAAAGAGGTATGTTAGGGTCAAATTGGTGAGTAAAAGCTAACCTACATACTGGTAAACAAGCAGCGTTAGTAGTGTTAAATGGAGAAAGACGTCCACTCAAGTGTGATAGTGGGAAGGCATCGGTAGAGTCTACTGGTTTGCTAAGAGAAGGTTGAGGACTAGAAAGGGAATGTAAAAATGTTAGTTAAGAAAACAGTTTAAAAAGGGAGGGGGAGGGCTCTCCAATGTTATTTTTGAGGGTTGAAAGGTATCCGGAAGTCAAGGATTATGGGATCAAAATGAATCTTATTTACGATCTTTCAAGCTCCGTCCTGGTACTACATCTTTACTTCGTAATACCACACGGCATCAGTGACATTAAACTTATCTCGTAACGGAAATACATATCTGCGACAAGCATTAAGATACCATCCCTTTTCTCCCTTTCCATTTTGCTTTGTTCTCTATAAAGTCGGAGTGAAACCAAGAAGAGAGGGTTTGAGTTAGTCAGAGAGAGCCAACAGAAACAACACAGACTTAAAACTAACGGCACAGACTATATAGATGGTTTGCCTTGGTGGGGAAATGCCATCAACTTTCTCAAACCTAGAAACCTGATAACCATCTCTAAGAGGGGAAAAAGACAAAAGAGAATAAGGTGAGAAAGAGAAAAAAAAAAAAAACGCCAGGACGGTACAGCTCAGGCATCTCGTGTTAGGAGCGACCCGAACAAATGACCACAAAAACGCTCTCGAGTATCTTTTCATTAGACAGAAATCCAGCAAATATCTGCGGTCAGAGCTTGACTCTGTATTCTCTAACATGGATCCAATTTCCCTTTGCCGCCCACAACTGGAAGAAACGAGAGCATGACCCTATTTTCCGCTAGTGTTTGGATTTCTCCGCTCCTCGACGTCGCACGTTCTCACTGCCGTCTCTCTAGCTTACACTGATTAATCCTAATATCATGTAAAGTGTATAATTATCAACAATGTTATTATATAATTATTTCAACATGTTGATAGAACGGGTGATTTTTGAATTAAAGATGAGATGATTAGATCATTACCTGTGAGAGGCGAATGTTAATTACATCGACAGAAATCCCCCGATTAATTTTGTCCCAAAAAAGATTTCTCTGAGGTTGAGCAGTTAATTTTGGAAACGTGAGTAGACTGATCAGTAAAACAAAACCCAGTACTGCCACATTCTGGCCATTACTGGCACTCCAAGGGGAGGGAAAAAAAAACTGATTTTACAATTATGCTGATTTAAAACACTTTTATTTGCCCATTAAAAGGGATAGTTCACCCAAAAATGAAAATTATGCCAACCATCACATTGTTTCAAACCTTAATGAATTTCTTTCTTCTGGTGAACATTAAATAAGATATTTTGAATGGGGCCCATCAATGGCTACCAAAAAGATCTTCTTTAGTGTTCAACAGAAGAAAGAAACTCATACAGGTTTGAGTAAATGATGACAGAATTTCATTTTTGGGTGAAGTATCCCTTTAAGTTTCCTAAGGGCTTTACTTGTTTCTTTTGTTTTGATTGTTTTTCACTTTTTTTTTCTTTGAGCTGGTCATTTCAATTCATCTCGGGGAATCAGTTCAAAACTGCCAATGTCATTAAAAAGTTTCAAATCTCTGATTCAATTATCAATTAAATTAAAAATACTCATGCTTTAATTAGACTTCTATTGTTTACTTTTGATTCTTGACAAGAATGGCTGTTTGGATGCAATATAAAATATAATACAAAATATATAGCACAGTCCTACATCAGAAGCGTTGCTAGAATGAAGAAAACAATCACGTTTCAATGGAAAATAATTTCGATTAGATCTTCATGGCAAACGCACTTAAAGGGTTAGTTCACCCAAAAATGATGTCATTAATGGCTCACCCTCATGTCACCCAAGCCTGTAAGACCTCAGTTTATCTTCGGAACACAGTCTAAGATGTTTTAGATTTAGTCCGAGAGTTCCATTGAAAATGTATATACTGTCCTTGTCCAGAAAGGTAATAAAGGCATAATCAAAGTAGTCCATGTGACATCAGTGGATGAGTTACAATGTTTTGAAGCATTGAAAATACATTTTGGTTCAAAAATAACAAAAACTACCACTTTATTCAGCATTGTATTCTCTTCCGGTTCTGTTGTCAATCCGCGTTCAGGAGTCCGCAGTGACGCTGGTGACGTGTATCTGGTGCGTCCATGTATTCAGATTAATATGGCGAATTAATATGGCTTCAAATAAATATGGCTGGGCAAAAAAATACAAGTCTTCCTCTGTCGAAATCCTTAGACAAGTTTGCGAAGATTGTTTTGTTTACAGAGTGCATCTTCCTCAGACTGGAGAATGACAATACAATACTGAATAAAGTTGTAGTTTTTGTTATTTTTGGACCAAAATGTATTTTTGATGCTTCAAAACATTCTGACTAATGTCACATGGACTACTTTGATGATGTCTTTATTTCCTTTCTGGACAAGGACAGTATACCGTACATGCATTTTCAATGGAGCTCTCGAACTAAAACATCTTAAACTGTCATCCAACGATGAACGGAGGTCTTACGGGCTTGGGACGACATGAGGGTGAGTCATTAATGACATCATTTTAATTTTTGGGTGAATTAACTCTTAAAAAAAAATCAATCATTCAGTCATTAAAATGCACACCAAATAAAGAAAACTCAAACACACTCCAAATGTTATCTAGGATTCGGGATTGGCTCTTTAGTATGATTGGATGGTTTCTTGGCCCCGCCCACCCACCAAATTCCCCAGGCGACGGAAAGGCTGATTCTCCACAAGGCAAACTCTGCTCACCCAGCCTGGGCCGCCAGGACTCACGTCCAGCAACAGGACAACCGAGGCCTCCATTTCACTCATATATGCTTTTTTTGTTAAAAAAAAAACAAAATTACGTTTTTTCATGCAAACACAAAACCACTGTGCACTGTGAATTTTTCTCTAAAATAAATGGTTAGTAACGTTCTCTTGGTTTAATTAAGAAGAATTACCGAATGTTAGGTGGTGCCACTAATTACAGTGGGCATTTTATGGTGGATTCGAGGTCAGTTACTGATTACTCGTAACTGTAATTGAACAACAAACTACGAATTATAATTTTTTTATTCCAGGTTCCACTATTTTGGTTTTCCACCAGACTATACCTTCTCGACTTCGGCTTCTCTCAGGCCACCTAGCTGCAGAGTGAAAGAAAAACCATCAGCTTTATAACTCTCGGCCGTCAAGTCAGCACACAGACATCCCGCCCACACTGATAACTATGAGTTACGGCCTCAGTTCTCCTGACTGGATGAGCGCTGATGACCTCTAACTGGGTGTGGCTTGAAGTTTTGTGGTACTTACCAGTACTTCACCCTGCAGTGATATGGAGGGAGGGGGTGAGTTTTGGGTAGAATAAATGAGGGAGAGACACAAGAAACAAGGCAAGGACAATGCAGGAGGAAGTATTAGAAAGACGTGTTTCAAATGGAGATGAAAAGGTTTGAAAGGGACAAGAGAGTGATGGAGTGAGTTAAAGAAGAGAGAAGGAGATACAGCGAGAAAAGAGTTGGGAAGACAGGGAAGCGGACACATGGTGAAAGAGAGAGAAAGAGAGAGAGAGAGAGAGCAACAGAACAAAGTTACATGCAATTAGATTAACTGACAGTACCACAAATCAGAATTATGTAATAGGTTGTGTCATTGTCACAGGCTGCATTCATGCATTCATTCTGAATTACACTTCAAAACAGAGAGGGGAAGTTTGCTCTACATTAGGGCAAGACTGAAACATATAAAACAAATGCACTGATTACTCATTTGTCATGCGTGTGTTACTAGCAGCTAGTATTGCTGTGATGCTAGTGAAAGCACAGTTTCACAAAAGCAGGGGAGGAAATGAAAGGGAGTTTCCCTGTCTAATAACACAGCGTACTTTCAAGTTGCTTGTGTCATTTCCACTGAAACCTTAATATATGAAAAGCCCATTTCAGGCTCTTTCATGTTTCTAACAGTGTTACTCTTCAGTGGAGAGAAATGTTCATTCAAATGAAACGGTACACAAATAATATCACTGCGTCCTAACCAGGTGTGACGTGACAAGATTCAAGTTGCCAACACAAATTGTGACATAATGCTTCACAATAACAGCCAAATTTCATTTATAATCTAGCTGTTTAGTCATGACGTCAGTTTGTAGACAAGCCCGGAAGGCTAATAGACTTTGGCTTCCTTCCTTCAGCGTCTGAGTAAAATAAGGTACTTGTCTTGTCATTTATGTTGCAGAACAAAACATGAAACAACCTTTTAATTACCTGAAACTCGAAAATGCTAACTCACTTCCAGGTTTTAGGGCTTCAAATTAAACAACATTAGTATTATTATTATTAAAGGAGAACTCCGGCGAACAATGAACATTTGGTCTAATAAAACATCGGTACCTAGTCAATCGTTCTCTGAGATTTGTTTTCTTGATAATCGAATGTAAAGAGTTTTATCTCTAAAAACTGTTTAGCGTATAATGCTAGTTATGGTGGCATTGACTAAGTAAAAAGAAATCGCTAGTTTATACCACTAACAAGGCTCAAAATAGCCCCACACTAACACAGTAACATAATGAGGCTCCATACATGCAAAACGAAGCATTGAGAACTTTGTAAGTGTACAGACCGTTTAATAAGAAGATACTTTATGAAGACAGTTCACTTCGTGTATACAGGCAGGAGCCATCTTAAAAAATAGTCTCGATAAGTCGATCCCCGAACGCCGTTCATACAGTTCAGAAGTTCGCTGAACTTCATACAGTTCAGATCACTCAGCACGACGTTCGTGGTTTGACTTATCGAGACTATTTTTTAAGATTGCTCCTGTCTGTATACGCGAAGTGAACTGTCTTCATAAAGTATCTTCTTATTAAACGGTCTGTACACTTACAAAGTTCTCAATGCTTCGTTTTGCATGTGTGGAGCCTCATTATGTTACTGTGTGAGTGTGGGGCTATTTTGAGCCTTTTTGGTGGTATAAACTAGCAAATTCTTTTTACTTAGTCAATGCCCCCATTACTAGCATTATACGCTAAACAGTTTTTAGAGATAAAACTCTTTACATTTGATTATCATGAAAACAAATCTCAGAGAACGGTTGACTATGTACCGATGTTTTATTAGACCAAAGGTTCATTGTTCGCCGGAGTTCTCCTTTAACAACAACAAAGATAAGTCATTTTGCTTGTTGCTTGTCGGTAAAAGCAAAAACTCAGGTTTACATGGAAGCCATTGGTTTTATCGCTTGTTTTTTTTTTTTTTTTTGCACCTGGTAAGGAAACTGTACAAAAGGGTGTAGGTGATGACATGTATAAATGATAGAGGCCTTGGGGAAACCGATTGTTTAGTTTTTGCTCAAATGAGGTCAAGTAAAAGTGTTGTTTTCTAAGGGATTCACCAGGGTTTAGTGTTTGGCCCTTTTGTGTTTAACTGGAATGGTGGCGGGAGTGATTGTGTTGGAACAAGGGATGTGGGAAAAGATGTTAGAATGGATTCAACAACATGTGGAAGTAGAGAAAAATGTACCTGGTTGGGAATGGCCCTCTTCTTGTTGACGATATTTCTTTGCTGGGCGCTGCAGGTGGGGGAAACGGAAGACAATAATTACACACCGATTGGATGCTGCAGTATGTATCGTAAGAATAGCACAACAATAAAACAATATCTGTGTAAACCTCCCTGGCGCTCTGGGTGGGAGCGATCCTGCCACTGAGGCAGGAAGATGGGAGGAGCGGGAGGAGCGGGAGGAAAAAGAGGAGATGGGTGGTCTGATTAACATCTATCTAAATGTAGCTTGGTGGCTGAGGGGGCGCTAGCGCACCTGTTGTTGGCGTACCCTGGTATGGTACCGTCATCCATCCGTCTGAAGTCAAGACTGAAAGTGACGGCATGAGAACCGTTAACAAAGGTGCCCTGACAAACTCACGACATGCGCATGGAGGCACGGAGTAGCTTTACCTCAACTCTTGAACTCTCAACTCTCATGCAGACATTTCACATGCAAGTCTTAAGCTGTGCACTAGATGTCTGAGAGGTCAAAGACATGCACTAATAGTTTTAGTGCACTTAAAGGGTTAGTTCACCCAAAAATGAAAATTAAGTCATTAATTACTCACCCCCATGCTGTACCAACCCCGTAAGACCTTCGTTCGTCTTCGGAACACAAATGAAGATATTTTTGATTAAATTTGAGAGCTGTATAACTACCACATTGGCTCCTAAGGGACTGCCTCTTGACGGCCCAGAAAGTCAATGAAGAAAATGTTTAAATATCCCATGTGACTACCGTGGCTCAACTTTATGTTTATCAAGCGACGCGAATACTTTTTGTGCCAAAAAACAAACAAAAATAACGAGTTTATTCGACTATTTCTTTTCTTCCTTGTAGGCCAGAAACGAGACTTCCTTAGATTTCCACGACGCATGCGCGAGAATTGCGATCTGAAGTAGTGTAAGCTGGTGTGAGCAGATTGCAATTCTCGCGCATGTGTCGTGGAAATCCAAGGAAGTCTCGTTTCTGGCCTACAAGGAAGAAAAGAAATAGTCGAATAAACTCGTTATTTTTGTTTGTTTTTTGGCACAAAAAGTATTCGCGTCGCTTGATAAACATAAAGTTGAGCCACGGTAGTCACATGGGATATTTAAACATTTTCTTCATTGACTTTCTGGGCCGTCAAGAGGCAGTCCCTTAGGAGCCAATGTGGTAGTTATACAGCTCTCAAATTTAATCAAAAATATCTTCATTTGTGTTCCGAAGACGAACGAAGGTCTTACGGGGTTGGTACAGCATGGGGGTGAGTAATTAATGACTTAATTTTCATTTTTGGGTGAACTAACCCTTTAAGTTACGGTCCAATGCATTATCCATAATGCACAGGCAGAAACTGATCATTTTAGTCCACTGCACTGACAGTACACAGGAGATGCAGCACAAAAGATGTTTTAAGAGGTTAAAAACATCCTGCAAATACCGATATCAATTTTCTAAATATATAAACGACATCTTAATATTGCCGATATGTTTTAAATGCGCCAAGAACAACCCAGAGAAGGTAATATAGCTTGGGGATGTCAAATGTACTGATGCTTCCAAAGAAGGTTCATACAAAAAAGTTATGATAAAAAAAAAAAAGTCTTTTCATGAAAATGTTTTCAATAATCTCTTATGCTCAACAAGGCTGCAGTTATTTGATCAACAGTACAGTAAAAACAGTAACATTGTCAAATGCTATTTACATTTAAAACAACTGTTTTAATATATTTTAAAATGTAATTTATTCCTGTGATCAAAGCTGAATTTTCAGCATAATTAATTAGTTAATTCATAAATAATTAGTTAATCCAGTCTTCCTGTGTAACATGATCCTTCAGAAATCAGTCTAATATAATGATTTGACGCTCAAGAAACATATCTTATTATTATGAATGTTGAAAACCGTTAATGCTGTGCAATATGTTTGTTGAAACAGTGCTAAATTTATTTTTCAGGATTATTTGATGAATAAAAAGTATACCATTTATTTGAAAAAGAAATATCTAATATTATATGTCTTTACTGTCACTTTTGATCAATTTAATGCATTCTTGCTAAAAAAAGTATTCATTTATTTACCTGCAATTAAACAAGTTTACGAACCTGACCATGTCTGTGAATTGTATGAAGGCTACATACCATTGTCGTAATATTCAATGTTAACATTTATTTAATCATTGAAAAACTAAATGATGTGCAAACTTTTATATTTGCACACACACACACACATATTTATATTATATATATATATATATATATATATTTTTTTTTTTCTTTTATTTATTTATTTATTTTTTTGAGCCACCAGGCACTGTTGTTGTGCGAATGAGCGGGCCGGAGCGCGAGTGAATCGATCAAAACTAACTTTAGCTGGACAATAACTTTATTCTAGAGTGGCTGTAAAGCCAAAACAATCTCTGTTACTTTCCTTTCCTATTATCACTGTAAAGCTGCTTTGAAACGGTCCATATTTTTAAAAGCGCTATATATAAATGAAAGTGACTTGACTATGTCCGTAGCTTTGAACCTTCTAAAGATTCGAGAGTCTTGTTTGAGACACATTATATTCTGCTTTCCTCTCATGGTTTCAGATAAACTGATGTGAAAAGGTCAATTGTGGTTGGTTGCTTTACACAAGTCGGCCACATGGCCTGTCTACGTCAGTCTAAATAACACTGCATCGCCGGCCAGACTTGCATATAGTCAAAAGTCTGGATACGCAAGACTAAAGCGCTGCTAAGGTTAGGGGTGAGAAATAAAACCCAGAATTCACCACACTGGATGCTACACATACTTTGCAAATCCAATGAAGTCCTCATGATTGGTGTTGATGTACGACAGCTCAATGTCAATCAGCAGAAGGACCTGGTAAAAACAATCGATTAGCACAATGAGAAAATAATGGAAAAAAAAAACTCAGTGATAAAAAGGGGATCTTCTCTCGTTGTTCTCGCACCTGGTCTTTGGTCTTTCCTTCTCTCTCTCTGACGTAAGTGGTGACGATCCTCTCGGTTTCTTCTCGCAGTCTGGGGTAAGAGCCTAGCTGTGGGGAAAAACACCAGATAGATGCAGGCTACAGCATGTACACATGGCCACACGCACTCTTACAGAAACACACACACAAGCGAGCGTTCTGCGACATGAAAGTGGTAGAAGCTAACCACAGTTAGACCTTTAAACACAGGTCGATGTGAGGACTAGTTTTAGCTAAGCCAGCGTGCACAAGAAGAATCAGTGCGGGAGAGAGAGCAGACATGCGCACATTCACACCTACAACCATGCAGATTTGGGGATTTCAGCAAGTTGTGCAGGTAAGACAACATTCACTCCCAGCTAGGAATAGACAGTGAACGAATAAATGAAGGTGCAGTAAACCAAATTTAAGGGATGGTGTTACTAGGGTTGGGAATCGAAAACTGGTTGTGGATATGATTGACTTCAATTTAAAATATCAGATTTGTTTCATAATTGACACATTTTGCAACATCGACACTGTTATTGAACTGAATTGAATCAACACTGAACTCACTCAAAGTGAATAACGACACTATCGCCTTCTGCTTCTGGCTGAATTAACGTTATTTCATATTTGATGAACTGAATCAATGCTGAACTATTCTCACTATTTTTCTGTTTATCTCTGTAAAGCTGCTTTGAAACAATCTGTACTGTATAAAGCGCTGTATAAATAAAGATTTTTTGTTAAAAAAAGTTTTGTTCTGGTAACAGTTATTATATATAGGGATGCACGATATATCGGTCACATTATCGGTACCGATAAATGATAATTCTTAATGTTATCGTTATCGGCCCAACAAGAACATTTAGCCGATATCTAAAAGCCGATAATTAATGTATTATTTCAATTATTTAAATTGCTTGAAATATGATTGAAATCACTTTAAAAAAGGAAAAATCCAGTTAAAGTGCAAAATGTGCAGCGCAAGTCTGTCATATCGGCTACACAATATTAAAATAAGAACATCATAACTGTGTTTGTATCTTGACTTTTAATGAGGAGACTTTTTTTTATAATCAGGCTCTCAAAAATTGTCTAAAAATTTGGATTTAGATTTATAGGCCAATATATCGGTTATCGGCTTTCAAATATAAAGAATTATCGGTTATCGGTATCGACCAAAATTGTCATATCGGTGCATCCCTAATTATATACAGTCTTCCGTTGATGCAGACCTTCAAAACCAAGGCAAAATGCGTTGTTTTAGTGATTTCTTAAAACTCTTTATGAATCAGCCAAATAAATCTCAAACTCGTTGGTCTTAAACGACTCACTCACTGAATCAGCCGTAGTTGTTATTGAGACGACAACGGACTAACTTCAAGTCCTTATTTTTGGTCAAATTAGACTTGAAATAAACCAAGAAGTGTGTTTTGTGTTGTATAGACCTTTTTCTGTTAATATAAATGGGACCTGTTGCACATAAAAACATAAAATCAGTTTAATTACTGATTGGTTGTTCATATTACAGAGTGTATGAAAGATACACATTTAGAATTGTGTTGTGAAGGATAAATGTAATATATATATATATATATATATATATACATATAAACAATATCGTTCAGTATTTTTAAAATTTAGAGTTTTTTTAATGTTTAAAAGAAAAAATATGTAATATAGTACAACGTCAATAATTTGCCGCTTCCTCAAATGTATTGAAATAATCATTCAAAATGGAATTGGAACTAGAATCGCTACTTCCTCACGATCCCCATCCCTAGTACTTAAAACTGATCAATCTTAAGTGATAAAATTATTTGATGTTAACAAATATGTTGTGAAGTGCAGGATATATTTACTTTTTGAGGAGAAAAATATCTTCCAAATCTGAGAGTGAAAAAGTGAAAAGATTTAAAGAAAAAAGTGGGAAAAAAAGGGGGTGTGACATTGGGGAGGGAAGACAGAATCAACACAAATATTGCACTGCGGTTCCTCCTAGGGCCACAAGATGGCAGGTGACTGGTTCTTTGTTGCTATGACAACAGCAGCAGCCTTTATGTGTCTGGAGTGGTTGGCAATCCATCTGTCACTGTTTTGTTTTTTTTACTTTTAAAGCCAGAGGTTCAGATTAACTGATGCTCTACTAAAGCAACAAAGAGCGAGATAAGGTGATGAGCCACTGACAAACACTGGAACTGGGGCTCAAAAGCTGATTCAACTTAGAAACACCCTGTTATCCCAAGCAATCCGGATGCTATATGTTGAAGTCACAGGGACTTTGGAAATGTGAGGCTCATTATGGAACAGAACACCAACTTCGGACATGAACACATTCCAGACAGACGATGGGCGGGGGCTGATTTGATATAGATGGAAAGCTGATAGGGCAGGCGGGCGGCAGTGTGGAAATGAAGGAAGGAGGAGGGTTTTTTTTGTTTTTTTTTGGGCTCTGCTTCTTCTCGATCCACGCTCCAGATTACCTTGTTGGCACTTTTCCTGACGAGGGTGGTGACTTCGGACACCACCAGGTCCACACATTTCAGGCTGGGCTCTTTCAGTTTGCGGATCTGCTTTTTCACTATAGTCTCAAAGGCTAGGTCAGGGGTGAACAACCCCGTTCTGAGGGGGTCAGGGTGATGCCGTTGGGGGGGGGGGGGGTGAAGAAGAAGTGTGGAGGTGTTAAAAGAGGACAGAAAAAAAGAGAAAGAAGGCAGAAGAGAGCATGGAGAAGGGGAAGAATAAAAAGAGAGGAAACTTTTAGTTGATTAATCATTGCTTATCTATCAACAGATAGAAAGTTAGGGTCCAAAAGGGGGAATCGCAGGTTTTCACATCCATGAATTATGAGTTATGTATTTTTGCAGCACAAAAATACACAACTAAATAGGTCTAAAACATGGGAGTCCAATCCTGTTCTTGGAGGGCCAGCATCCAACCAGCTCAAACAGGAAGTTTCTAGTCTGAAGACCTTGGCTAGGGCGTGTTTAAAGTCCCCGTGAACCGGAAGTTGCAAACGACTGTTCTCCGGTGTTGTCGCGTATTTCCGAGAGAAACGGAATACTAAATGAGGCAAAATAGTGGGCGTGGCTTTTTTTTCCAACTAGCACCTGATTGGATCTAGAAAAGTGGGTTTTTCCATTCTGAAATGGAGGATGACGCAAGTTTACACACGCTGTCAATCAATGCTCGCTCGGCGCTCGCAAACACACAGCAGCTGTCAGTTGGAGGGGCGTGGTTATGAATGTTAGGGAGACACCCAAACCGTAAAGCCTACGTCATCGGGCAAGGTCCTCCAATGCAGAGGGGAGGGGCATTTTCAAAAATTGATTAAAGTTTACAAAGCCAAAATTTTTGTGTGTGGATTGACTTGCATGTATGAATTGTTCACCACAAAACGATCAATTTAGGCAAACAAAGTAAGTATGGTCGATTTTGATTTCATGGGGACTTTAATTGGGGTTAGAGCTAAACTCTGTTGGACAGTGGCCCTCCAGGAACAGGTTTGAACCCCCCCTGGTCTAAATGATTTTGAAAAATATTCACACCAAGTCCAATGCTACAACACGTTATAAATATATTAAAACTAGTAACCTATAGCCTTCAAAGATTCATTGTTTTGGTTGAAACATTTTGAAACACTGGAATCCATTGGTTTATATGACACTTCCGTTAAAGTGATGAAACGGATGTGTGTGACAAAATTTGGAGGAAAGGATCGGATTATCGAAAGCATAAATGTCAGACGGGATGGTTAATTGGATTTTGAGATGTGGAGGTTGCACTCAAAAGTGGAGGCAGGGGTGGGTTTAAAATGGACTGAATATGTCAGCAGAGAAAGTCTGTCATTTTTTAACAGAAAGTCCAGTTTTGACATTTTGATTAAACATTACCAGCTTTACTTTAATTTCATGTTGACTTTAATAGCTGTTCAACATCTGTATTCTTCAGCCAATGTGGAGAGAATGGCACATTAAATTACTAAGAGTCATTCGACTGAATCTACAGCACTACGGCAAGCAGTCTACGATGGGAATGAAATAAAAATAATGCCAAAAACAAGACCTCACACATAATGCGAAATAAAACGTGTGACATACACAACCAGTATAGTCCAGTTGTGAACAAATTACTTTGGTACACTGGTTCTTTGTAATTAATCAGTCAAAACGACTCGAATCTTATGAAGACCCCCAAACCAACAAGTTATTGATTTAAATTGGTGAAAAAAATAAAATCTCCAACTCAAAGAGTTAACAGTTTCAATCAGTATAAATTGATTGTAGAGGTCTTTGACTTACTTGCTGAATGACAAGGCATTCATTTTGAGACAACTCGACTCCAAAAAACTGTTACTGTGATGTATTCTCGCCCTAGCAAGAACACTAAAAAGTGTACTACTTTGTTTGCTTAAGTGTATTTCTGTATCACAAGGACAAGACTCGAGGTTCATATGACAATGTGCGGTTAAAGCAGCACATTTTGAGTTGTGTTGTAAAGTTACCGTCACGTCGGTTATGTGGTTTCGTTCTAAGTTGCCTTTCATTTTGTAGTTTTCATAGTCATGTTTCATGTTCCGGTTTGTCTAATGTGTCCTGATCTGATTGGTTCCTTGTTCCTCGTGTCATGTTTTCATAGTGTTTCTTGTTAGTCTTTTTTGTATAAACAACCCTCATGTATAAATATTTTTGGCTTGCCGTGTATTGATGCTGCTGTTAGTGAGTCCATTGTCAAGTCAAGTTCAAGTTTATATTCATGTCTGTTCTGTTCTCAATCAAGTTTACTTCAGTCATTGTCTTTTTGGGATTATGTCAATAAACGGTGTTACTGATGTCACAAACTACCTTGTAAACAATCAGATCATGGAACAGGGGTAGGTTTAGGGGTAGGTTCAGGGTTAGTGCTAGTTAGTACCCAGTAATTGTAGTTACTAAAATAAGTACATAGCATTTACATGGGTAACTGGACTGTAAAAGGAAGCATTACCAAACATTTTTGGTGATCAAAGATTTGTTTTAAGGGACTAAAATGAATGACTGCAGAGGGACTTTAAGACATTGGAGAAATCCAACATTTATTTGATATGTATTTCGGACTTGATGTGAATGGGCCTCAATAGCCCTTACATTTCAATTTGACCCTTGGCTATAGAGATGCTCAGCATTCAGCAGGATGTTGCGGACCCACGGCTCATCCCTTTTAGACCGCAGATGATCAGAGTGTCATTCTCCAATCATCTCCTTATCACAAGACTCTCACAACACCCCAACACACGACAGCAGATCCAGCGCACAAGGCAGTCGAGGGGGCCGAGGGGGCCACACCGACACGCAAACAGGCTCCCTGAAGTCTAACTCTCCCTCTGTGCTTTTAGCTGAAAGCACCGTCTGTTTGTCTCAGGTGTAGTGTGACCCCCTCACTGGAAGCCCCCTGTGGCCAGGCTGGGGCACTGCAGTACCTTGTTGGTGCACTGCCTGAATGTGTTGATGAGCTCCTGAATAACCAGATCGATACATTTCAGACAGGGCTCTTTCAGCTTAATGATCTGCTTTTTCACGATGGCTTCAAACGCCAGATCTGGAGTGAACAGCCCAGTTCTGAGAACGCACAGGACAGACAGACAGCAGGACGTAAGAGGACGGAGACGAACAGTGAGGTGAAAGAGAACAAACGACAAAAGTGCCAAAAAAAATAACTCAATGACAAATATTTGTGACAATGACGTGAAAACGAAACTTAATAGAAGTGAAAATGGGATACTTGAAGGTGAAGTGGAGGGAAAGAAGAGGATAAAGACATTGGTTTAGCTCACAAAGACTGGAAACAGAATCTTAAATAATACACGGACAGATGAGTGTGACTTGCTGTGGGGGGAAAAAAAAGTCAATTAAACATTTCAGAGACGACTAGGTTCCTCAGTGATTATAAGAATCACTTTAGGCCATGCCCTCATGACAGTTTTTGCAGTGGCGAAGATTATATTTTCATGGCCTTGGTCATTGAGTCTGAGTCTAAGATTATATTCTCATGGTCTTGGTCATTGAGTCTGAGTCTAAGATTATATTCTCATGGTCTAAATCATTGAATCTGAGTCTAATATTATATTCTCATGGTCTTGGTCATTGAGTCTGAGTCTAAGATTATATTTTCATGGTCTAAATCATTGAGTCTGAGTCTAAGATTATATTCTCATGGTCTTGGTCATTGATTCTGAGTCTAAGATTATATTTTCAAGGTCTAAATCATTGAGTCAGAGTCTACGATTATATTTTTATAGTCTTGGTCATTGAGTCTGAGTCTAAGATTATATTCTCATGGTCTTGGTCATTGAGTCCAAGTCTAAGATTATATTTTCATGGTCTTGGTCAGAGTCTGAGTCTAAGATTATATTCTCATGGTCTTGGTCATTGAGTCTGAGTCTAAGATTATATTCTCATCGTTTAAATCATTGAATCTGAGTCTAAGATTATATTCTCATGGTCTTGGTCATTGAGTCTGAGTCTAAGATTATATTCTCATGGTCTAAATCATTGAATCTGAGTCTAAGATTATATTCTCATGGTCTTGGTCATTGAGTCTGAGTCTAAGATTATATTCTCATGGTCTTGGTCATTGAGTCAGAGTCTACGATTATATTTTTATAGTCTTGGTCATTGAGTCAAGTCTAAGATTATATTCTCATGGTCTTGGTCATTGAGTCCAAGTCTAAGATTATATTTTCATGGTATAAATCATTGAGTCCGAGATCTAAGATTATATTTTTATGGTCTTGGTCATTGAGTCTAAGATTATATTCTCATGGCCTTGGTCATTGAGTCTGAGTCTAAGATTATATTTTAATGGTCTTGGTCATTGAGTCTGAGTCTAAGATTATATTCTCATGGTCTTGGTCATTGAGTCTGAGTCTAAGATTATATTTTCATCGTCTAAATCATTGAGTCTGAGTCTAAGATTATATTCTCATGGTCTTGGTCATTGAGTCTGAGTCTAAGATTATATTTTCATGGTCTTGGTCATTGAGTCCGAGTCTAAGATTATATTCTCATGGTCTTGGTCATTGAGTCTGAGTCTAAGATTATATTCTCATGGTCTTGGTCATTGAGTCTGAGTCTAAGATTATATTTTCATGGTCTTGGTCATTGAGTCTGAGTCTAAGATTATATTCTCATGGTCTAAATCATTGAATCTGAGTCTAATATTATATTCTCATGGTCTTGGTCATTGAGTCTGAGTCTAAGATTATATTTTCATGGTCTAAATCATTGAGTCTGAGTCTAAGATTATATTCTCATGGTCTTGGTCATTGATTCTGAGTCTAAGATTATATTTTCAAGGTCTAAATCATTGAGTCAGAGTCTACGATTATATTTTTATAGTCTTGGTCATTGAGTCTGAGTCTAAGATTATATTCTCATGGTCTTGGTCATTGAGTCCAAGTCTAAGATTATATTTTCATGGTCTTGGTCAGAGTCTGAGTCTAAGATTATATTCTCATGGTCTTGGTCAGAGTCTGAGTCTAAGATTATATTCTCATGGTCTAAATCATTGAGTCTGAGTCTAAGATTATATTCTCATGGTCTTGGTCATTGAGTCAGAGTCTAAGATTATATTCTCATGGTCTTGGTCATTGAGTCTGAGTCTAAGATTATATTTTCATGGTCTTGGTCATTGAGTCCAAGTCTAAGATTATATTCTCATGGTCTTGGTCATTGAGTCTGAGTCTAAGATTATATTCTCATGGTCTTGGTCATTGAGTCTGAGTCTAAGATTATATTTTCATGGTCTTGGTCATTGAGTCAAGTCTAAGATTATATTCTCATGGTCTTGGTCATTGAGTCTGAGTCTAAGATTATATTCTCATGGTCTAAATCATTGAATCTGAGTCTAATATTATATTCTCATGGTCTTGGTCATTGAGTCTGAGTCTAAGATTATATTTTCATGGTCTAAATCATTGAGTCTGAGTCTAAGATTATATTCTCATGGTCTTGGTCATTGATTCTGAGTCTAAGATTATATTTTCAAGGTCTAAATCATTGAGTCTGAGTCTAAGATTATATTTTTATAGTCTTGGTCATTGAGTCTGAGTCTAAGATTATATTCTCATGGTCTTGGTCATTGAGTCTGAGTCTAAGATTATATTTCCATGGTCTTGGTCAGAGTCTGAGTCTAAGATTATATTCTCATGGTCTTGGTCATTGAGTCTGAGTCTAAGATTATATTCTCATGGTCTTGGTCATTGAATCTGAGTCTAAGATTATATTCTCATGGTCTTGGTCATTGAGTCTGAGTCTAAGATTATATTCTCATGGTCTTGGTCATTGAGTCAGAGTCTACGATTATATTTTTATAGTCTTGGTCATTGAGTCTGAGTCTAAGATTATATTCTCATGGTCTTGGTCATTGAGTCAGAGTCTACGATTATATTTTTATAGTCTTGGTCATTGAGTCCAAGTCTAAGATTATATTCTCATGGTCTTGGTCATTGAGTCCAAGTCTAAGATTATATTTTCATGGTATAAATCATTGAGTCCGAGATTTAAGATTATATTTTTATGGTCTTGGTCATTGAGTCTAAGATTATATTCTCATGGCCTTGGTCATTGAGTCTGAGTCTAAGATTATATTTTAATGGTCTTGGTCATTGAGTCAGAGTCTAAGATTATATTCTCATGGTCTTGGTCATTGAGTCTGAGTCTAAGATTATATTTTCATGGTCTTGGTCATTGAGTCTGAGTCTAAGATTATATTCTCATGGTCTTGGTCATTGAGTCTGAGTCTAAGATTATATTTTCATGGTCTTGGTCATTGAGTCCAAGTCTAAGATTATATTCTCATGGTCTTGGTCATTGAGTCTGAGTCTAAGATTATATTTTCATGGTCTTGGTCATTGAGTCCAAGTCTAAGATTATATTTTCATGGTCTTGGTCATTAAGTCCGAGTTTTAAGATTATATTTTTATAGTCTTGGTCATTGAGTCTGAGTCTAAGATTATATTCTCATGGTTTTGGTCATTGATTCTGAGTCTAAAATTATATTTTCATGGTCTTGGTCATTGAGTCCAAGTCTAAGATTATATTTTCATGGTCTTGGTCATTAAGTCCGAGTTTTAAGATTATATTTTTATAGTCTTGGTCATTGAGTCCAAGTCTAAGATTATATTCTCATGGTCTTGGTCATTGAGTCCAAGTCTAAGATTATATTTTCATGGTCTTGGTCATTGAATCTGAGTCTAAGATTATATTTTCATTGTCTAAATCATTGATTCTGAGTCTAAGATTATATTCTCATGGTCTTGGTCATTGAGTCTGAGAGTAACGTGGCGTGAGCAGTAAAACGTTTCTGGTAATTGTGTTGGGAAAGCATGGCCTTACTATAAGACATTTCAGAGAAAGAAAGTGTGTGATTAGAATGAAAGAGTAAGGGATTAATCAGTGAACAGAGGATATAAGAAGTGTCGTTCCTTTCATGCCAGCGTAAGGCCTGCAGGGCTAACAAACGCCTGCCGTCAATGGGACACCACTTGCCTGACACCATGGACGTTCTTAATGGCATGACTGATTTCTCGCCGGAGCTCCTTCTCATCAAAAACAATCTGAAAGAGAAAGAGAGACTTCACAACAGGGACTTGCCATTGCACCGGGTATACCGGGTCCTCTGGGAACTTGTTGTGACTTGTTATCTCAAGATCATAGTATTTGCTGGATTCTAAACAAGTGCAAAACTTTGACAGTTCAAAAGCAGACAAAACAAAGAGCTCTGTAAAGAATAGAGGCATTTACCTTGACCAGCTCGAAGGGGAAGCGTTCATGGAAAATTCGGTTAATCCGGGCACCTCCAGACAACTCTGCTGTGTCCACCTGGTCTCCGGAGCCTTCGATGCACTTCTCAAAGTCCACTCCGAACTGCTGGACCATCCTAAAGAGGTACTCAGAGTTATACACATCTGCCCAAGCCTAGACATTGCTTTAGTTCGAGACGCTAGTCCCGTCACTGGACTCACTGCAGCAGAGCCTTGGTCTTTCGCGTAGGGTCATCTGGACGGAAATTCTTATACTCTTCCACCTCCTTTTCCAGTGAGAGAAGCTGAGACTGGAGTTTGCTGCGTAAGCCGGGTAGCGTGTCCCGGATGTGGTTGGTCAATTGCTAAAAATAAAAAAAATAAAAGGAAGTGAGAATGTAATGCAGTATATAAACATAATGGCACCAAACAGAGAGTGACATTCACCAAACAAAGACATTTTCAGGAATTAGAAATATTTTTTTGAGCATATGCTAATCTTTTAAAAAATGGATTTATTTGTGGAATTCCATGACTAGTGTCGTATTCCTACCTGGTTGAGGGTCTTCTGCAGATATGGTGTTCCCATTTTTTCAGCCATGTGTCTGTAGCTGGGATGGGACAGGAAGAACTTCCTTTCTGCTGCCATTGCAGCACGAATATCCTTCTTGCCATCTATATCTTTCTGACTTCTGTTTACAACACCAATATAACCTGGGACAGAGAAAGTAACATTACAGCCTGGATGGACAATATATACCCCATGCACTGGTAGAATTATGCCAACTGGAATCTCCTTTTGTCCATCCAAAGAACACTTTATACTGTATTGTATTGTATTCAGAAGTTTGGGTTCAGTAAGATTTTTTTTTTTTAATATACTTTTATCCAGCAAGGTCATTTTTAAAATTTTTATTTAACAAAAAATTCTACAAATGTATCATGGTTTCCATAAAAATATGAAGCAGCACAGTTTTCAACATTAATAATAATAAACAGCAGATCAGAGTATTAGAATGAGGTCTGAAGGATCATGTGACACTAAAGACTGGAGCAATGATGCAGAAAATTCAGCTCTGATCACAGGAATAAATTACATTTATTTAGATAGAAAACATTTAACTCTATTAGTTTTTATTAGTGTTTTAACTGTATTTTTAGTCAAATAAATGCAGCCTTGGTTTGAAAAAACCTTACCAATCCCAACGTTTTGAATAGTAGCAGTGTTTCCTCTAGGATTTTTCCAAGCTGTGGGGGCAGGCCCATTTCCCCAGGGGGAGGGGGCGTGGCCCACAAGTGATATTCCCTTAGGCCACGCCCCCTTGTCTCCCCAAAGTATTATAAGCGATCATGCGCATCCCGTGTGCAGAATGATGCACTTGAAGCAACACCAAGTCACAGCACGCAACGCTTCACATTAAAAAGAACATAGCGAAGGGAAGGGGATTAAACATGCTTAGTAGGGCTGCACGATTTGGGGACAATGTCATTGCCATTTTTGAGCCAATTTTGCAATTGCGATATGCGATTCCGATATAATAAAATGGTTTCATGAGTCCAACTTGCTTGGTTCTAAAGTAAAATGCACACACAGATTAGTGATCATTCTGTGTATTGATGTTTATTTCTCAACTTAAACTAAAAACAACAACTAAATGATTGATAACACCTATAATGATCAATAAACCATCAACCAAACCAACATTAAAGTGATTCCATCTTTACAATTGTAAGCTATCAACGTTTAAAAAAAATTATAGGCTTAAAAAAAATATAGCAGCTTTTAGATGTAGTGAACTTCAAATAATCCCCACATAAACCCATAATAAAAAACATATTTATTGTGCCCTTCCTGTCTTAACAGGTACAGAAATTGAATAAAGTTATCAAACAGTCTGCGCTGCATGAATCATAAATTATATATAGAATAATCCTTATTAAAGCTACAAAAGTTCTTTAGTCAAGATCAGTGAGTAATTTTCTAATTTCCCTTCGTTCTTTGATTAACTTTACTGACAGAACGCTTTATTCGCCGCTGGCCCTTTAAGAGAACCCGTTGCCGAGACGCGGATCCCACGCGCCTCATAGCGCACAACTCTTTTCGTCCATAAGACTTTTCTTATGTTATGAAGATACTAGACAAAACGAAATTATGGCATAATTGTGTGTGCTATTGTTCGTTCAAGCTCGAAAGAGCTTGATATTATATTGTATATTCTGGCACGCGGTGAGTGCATGCGCATTATGGCACGCGTCTTTCTGCGAGTCTCATATTCTAGGGCATTCACAGGCAGCTTTTCTTGTCGTGCAAAATGCGAAAAGGCATTTGAATTTATTTGTATTTATTTATTTCTTCGGTCAGTCATTTAGAAATCATGTCATAAATCATGTAACACAAAAGAGAGAAAGAAAAAATAAAATAAAATAAAAATAAAAAATAACACATAAATACTGACCGAAGGGGTTTAGGCTGAAGTCAAGACTTATTTTGCCTAACCCCTTTTACAACAACAACTTATCCTGACTATTACAATAACATCTAGACACTAAAAAATTAATCCTCAACAATCAAAATTATGTCATACTTAGGGTTGGGAATCGTGAGAAATTTTCCGGTTCCGGTTCCGATTCCGGTTCCGCCAAACGATTCCGGTTCCGGTTCCGGTTCCCATTCAATTAAAAATATTAGTAAGAGAAAAATCCACAATCCTTTTTGTGTTTATTTCTTATAGTACATGACAAATTAGTTTAACAGACTGGTAATGTAAACAAACTCAAAATATTATTAAGCAATCTTTGCAAAAAAAAAAATATATATATATATATATAAAGGAAATTAAAAAATTCTGCATTCTCTATAATAATTTAGACCTCTCCTTTATTGTATCTCCAACAGTGAAGAATACCCTCTCAGAAGGAATAGTATATGCTTTAACACACATATGTGTGTAGAACAGATTATTTTTTAAAACGGTTTGAATGATTGATTCATAAGGACTTTACTTATTTCATTACTGGATAAATCGGCGCTCTAGCAGTTAATAAACAGAACTGCAGTGCATGCGTCTTGCGGAAGAACATTGTTGCCGGAGCTACTTCTCTCTGTTTATGTCCATGACGAGTCACGCAGGCATTGGGCTACTCCGCAGCTGCTGCGATCCGCCGGCCAGTCTAAAGAAGTCCGAGTATTAACGCTTATTACAGGCTTTACGTAGTGATTCAAGATAAGACAAAAACACGGTTTGAAAAAAAAAAACATTATGATGCACTCGCTCATTGTATATATTTTGTAAATTCTGAACACAAAAAATATACGGACTGCATCTGTTTTGACCACTACCGTCAATGTTTACTCAAACTATAATCTCACTAATTCTGTAACGGAAATCATTTGAATATGTGAAACAAATAAATATTGAGACTGAGATTGTAAAGCAGTTTCATATCGACAACTGCTCTCTCTCTCTCTCAGCGCAAACAGATTTGAATGTAGGCTAGAGAGTGACTCGGCGGTCGGCGCGCGCAGCGTGCGTGTGTCTGTGTGTGACAAATGCAGCGCGTGTGAGAGCAAATCGCAACTTCAGTGGTGAAGTGTTTGTCATTTAGGAATAAGACGGCGTCTTCTACTCCCAGCACTTCGCCCACATGATGATATCGCATCGGCATCAGAACCGTTTTCGGAACCGAAACTTAGGAATTTTGCACGGTTCCGGTATTTTTTCAAAAACACAACCGGTTCTGGAAAAGAACCGGTTCTCGGTTCCCAACCCTAGTCATACTTCCACTATCGCTTACTTTTCTTACTCTTCATTCAAGTGTTCTATTTTTTTCCATAATGTTCAACTTATATCTTTTCTTGAATCCCTTAATAGTTTTAGAGCTCTTAAGTTGAATAAGAAGACTGTTCCATAAATCTACTCCTTTAACTGATAAACATCTTCTCTGGTATTACTCTTAGCCATGGGTTTTTGTAACAATTGAGTTCCTCTGAGGCTATATCTCGATTCTCTGATTCGAAACATCTCTTGTAAACAGTGAGGAAGCTTGAAATTGTAAGCCTTGTACATCACAACTGCTGTGTAAACATCAACAAGATCGTGAAATTTTAATATATTTAATCTGATAAAAAGTGGATTTGTTGGAGCAAGATATTCAGCATAGCTAATCACTCTAATAGCTTTTTTCTGTAATAAAAAAATCGGTTGTATGATAGTTTTATAGGTATTCCCCCATATTTCCACACAATTCATTTGCACGAATAAGAGCGGGATCATGTAAGACTAGTCAAAGGATGACAAAAAAGAAGAGATGCTGCGTTAATAGTCCTAATTTGTTTATTTAATATAAAATCGCGGCATTTTGCGTTATAATTGCATAGGTTTGAGATCGCTATTACGATTGCGATATGATTCATCTTGCAGCACTAATGCGTAGTGTATTCTATCTATGCAACAGTTTTTTGAGCATTTTATTTTTTAACAGTTTTAAATTTCAGCGCGCATGAAGAACAATAGCGCACTCTCTCGACTCTATGCTGTAATCTCACATACACCCGGGAGAAGGGAATGTGATTTAGAAAGGGCAATAAACTCCACTCCAGCAAGTCATTTTATGCAAATAATATAGACCTTTATGCTTTCTCTACAAATAAAGTATAATATTGGGAACATTGATCTTGAAGAGAGTGTCGGCGTGTTACTGTCGCAACCGAACGCGACGCGCTGTGTGAATGCTGAACGGAGAATGAGGCGAGATGACTTTCCGCACACATTATGCTATTGAATGACTTTAGAAGTCTTGGAGTATAGTGTGAAAACTTGATTGTGCTTTACAAAGTTTTTTTTATGCCTTTAGTGAGGCTTAACAAAATAACACACACTCTAAAAAATGATGTGTTGGATTTACTTAACCCTCAGGTGCTCTTCGTTTCGGAGTCACACTTGTTATCTTCCCGGTCAAAAGTGACCGGACACCTAAAAATGAAACTTTCTCCATCCCAGTAAAACCAATGCAATTTATTTTTGTTCTATAATATTTTTTCTTTTTAATTTAGTATTTTGAGACAATTTAATTGAATTTATTAATATTTATGCAATATTTATGGTTTATTTTTGCCATGGAAAAATATATATATTTTACTATATATATAATATTTTTTTAAAAAAATATTAATGCAGTATTTTAGTTTAATATAGAGTCTAGGCCTTCAGAAAAAAAAATATTTTTTGGAGAAAATTAGCACCATCTGGTAACAGTATAGAGAAAAAGCATAGAATCATGGTGTAACCACTAGATGGCATGTACAGCTCTCTATGGAGAGGCATGTGAATTCCCCAGCTGTTTATGAACACATTTTTTTTTTTTTTGATTTTCGGATTTGTATATATAGTTGAAACAATCTCAAAAACTATTTCTTATAAAAAAAATGACAAAAAAAACAAATATTCACATTTTTTTTTCCTTTTTTTTACAATTTCCCATTCATTTCCTATGGGGTCATTTTTGACCAAAGACCACAAGTGTGACTATTTTTTTTAAGACCACTTAGCACGCTCAGATCAAGACCTCAATTTTTTTTATGTGTTCACATACATAATGCCATAAAGGTCACCAAGTTTCGTAACATTGCGATGAAGCTGTGATTTTTAAAAATTCAAAACATACTTTTTGTTATCAAAATTTATTGGTGTGTATGTGTATAAAAGTGTGTTTGTATGTGTGTGTGTGTTGGTGGGTGTGTCTGTTTTGCACTCTAGATGTTGTAGAGTGTCACCCCTTTCCTGCGGTGTACTTTTTTTTTTTTAGAATTGTGGCCGATTTGTAAATTGTACATACAAAAATTCAGAGAATTTTTTTTTTGTCAATTTCCCATTCATTTCCTATGGGTCGTCATTTTTGACAGAAGAGCAAAAGTGTGACTCATTTTTTTACGACCACTTAAATTGCTGGAATCATGACGTCAATTTTTTTTTGTGTGTTCACATACCCAATGCCATAAAAGTCACCAAGTTTCGTAATTTTCTGAAGAAGCTGTGATTTTTAAATATTCAAAACAGATTTCTTTAATCACAATTTATTGGTGTTTTTGTGTATAAAAGTGTATCAAAAGCGTGTATGTGTGTGTGTAGGGGTGGGTATGTCTGTTTTGCACTCTTGATGTTTAAGAGTGTCACCCCTTCAATGCTGAGCACTTTTTTTCTGCATCGTGGCCGATTTGTAGATTGTACACACAAAAATTCTCAAAGTTTTTGTGTTTTTATCAATTTCCCATTCATTTCCTATGGTCGGTCATTTTTGACCGAAGAGCACAAGTGTGACTATTTTTTTTACGACCACTTAGCATGCTCGGATCATGACCTCAATTTTTTTGTGTGTTCACATACCCAATGGAATAAAAGTCACCAAGTTTCGTAACATTCCGATGAAGCTGTGATTTTTAACATTTCAAAACATACATTTTTTCGGTCAGAAATGACCGAAGAGCACCTGAGGGTTAAAATATATATGCACCATTTTTTGCATCATACTTTTTAAGTAATCCCAACTTGGAATAATTTTACTTAAAATTAACAAGAAAATCTTTGTTATATGTACTTAATTATTTGAGTTCACGCAACATTCTTTACTTAAAAATGTATGCATCACGTTACATATATTTTTAAGTAAAGAATGTCACGTGAACTAAAATATTTAAGTTTATTTTATGTAAAATTATTCCAAGTTAAAAAATTACTTAATTAAATGATTACGGATTACTTAAAAAGTATGACACAAAAATGGTGCATATATCTTTTAAGTAAATCCAACACAGTGCAGGCCATGTGAGATCAAAACAAATCTTAGTTCTGTTTACTTAACATTTAAGCTCATTTATATATAAAAATAAGACAATTAAATCAGTTGAACTAACCATTTTAACTTATTTTAGATCTTCAGCTCACATGTCTTAAAATAAATTAAACATGCAAATCACACACAATAAAGCATTTCACTTTATTATTTATTTTTCACCCAAAACTTTTAAATTGCATCTTAAAATAATATATTAAAATAGAAAATAGTTGTTAAAATAATAATAATAATAATAATAATAGTCACAATATTACAGTTTTTTCTTGGATCAAAGAAATGAAGGCTTGGTGGGCAGAAGATATATAGGCATATTTATTTTTTTCAAAAATCAATAAAAAACAATTAAATGTAACAAATTAGTCCATTATTAAATGCTTATAAATATAAAAATTAGTCTATTAATATCTATTAATTTAAACAAAATAGAAGTTAATTAATGACTTTTGTCCAAAGGTTTTGAACGAATATCTCTTCAAAAACATTTTAACAGTAACTACTGGAAAACAGCAAAGATCTACAATCTTTATTTGAAGCTAAACTTTTGTTTAAAGGGTATTTACTTATTTTGATAATAATTTTGAAGGTTTAATTTACTGAATTGTCTCTGTCATTTAGGATTAATATTGTGCAAGAATCAAGATTGCCATTATTTAATGATTGTGCACACGGAGCTGTAGGCAATGTGTGTTTTTGAATGTAATATTTATGTTAACGTTACCAAAAGTAGGCTAACCCGCGCCCAAAGCCCCCTTCCCCGCGATCCATGTATAGATAGAGAATATGGGAATTTGTAAATATGCAAGGTACATTTGTTTTATCCAAAAACAACTCGCTAATAAAGTAGGCCTATAATCTAGGCTATCCGTGGGGGAGAAAGCGCCGTCCGAATTGGTAACCGAACGCGTCAAACACGTCGCGTCTAGTTAGATGCTTGAATCTTCCGCAGCCCGCTCAAGTTCAAATTTTTCTACCGAGGAAGACGTTCGCGGCAAACGAGTCACCCAATTCGCGACGCCCGGCGCGAATGATGCGTCTTCGCGTCTTTGCATTGACTATGAATGTAATCTGCTATCGCAAATAATTAAATTCACGTTCTGTGTGAACACACCATTAATGCATAAGCCAACATCATGGTCATATATTTTGAAAAAACACAATATACTCTTCAAATACTCGCGTGCAAAACACTTATTTCATTCATTAACATGTAGACTACAAACGTTTACATTCGTAAGTAACACGTTTCTAATTGTTGATGCAAAATTTGTAGCAATTCTGAAATTCAGTTAAAAGTCAATTTCTTGGCTTACCTCTTCTCAACGTCTTCACATGTGCTGTGAAATAAAATGGCTTAAAATTTTGGTCTGGATAGGCATCACGGGAAATTGCATATCACGTGGCTCATATAGTACTTAAAATGATATGCTAGATTTACTTAATTTTGACGCAAGTTGACATGCCTTATGTATTTTTCATTTTATTTATACATACATTTAAGTGCACCTAGTAACTTATATTTTTGTGTTACACACACTATATATGTTAAGTAAACATTGAAAAGTTATGAATACTTAATTTTTTATGTTTGATCCAATTACTTTTATAAGTAATGGTTGTTCGGCCAACGAATCGTTTTTTAGAGAGCAGAATGTCGGACGTCACTGAGAAGCTGCAGCCGTGGCGGGAGGATTTTAAGTGTGGCGGCCCGCCACGGGAGAATGAATGTAGAGGAAACACTGTAGTACTATATATGGTTATGGTATAGTGACAAAATTATTCATAAATGATAAGATAATTGGCCATAAATCACACTCCTGTAATGTTTAAAGCACATACTGCCCACCTCTACGCAGCGGTAAGAGTTTATTTTCCAGGATTTCCCGGGCGTCTGTACCCTCATCCATTAGATCCAGTTTAGTAATCACACCAATGGTGCGCACTCCTGTTGAAATACAAAAAAAAAAATACATTAACAACTTGTGTTCCCACTCTATTGACCAATGAATTTCCATGACATTTCCAGTTGTCTGTGATTACTTGATCAGGATTATTAAAATAAAATCATCTAAATTCAAGTTGATTCACTAGAGCATTTGGGATTCACTAAAAAGAACAAACTTAAAAGAATGATTGGCTCATAAAGTGGAAATCACTGTGGTTTCCATGACTATGTGAAGATTTATCCGCCTCCTCTCGTTCTTTTATCTCTTCAGCAATCCTCACCTTGAGGGTCCACCTCTTTAGCCACCTTGAGGGCATCCGAGTTTGCCAAGTCAGTGTTGGCGGGGGTGACGGCGAGGATCAGGCAGCTTTCCCTAGTGATGAATTGCATAAGCATGTCTCGAATCTGGTGCTCAATGTCGGGCGGCTGGTCGCCCACCGCAATCTTGGTCATACCGGGCAAATCAATGAGAGTCAGATTCAATACTGTTGAAGGGAGGGAGAGAGAGAGAGAGAGAGAAGTGACATTTTAACAATGGCTGCCGAGATTACGAGTGTGGACTGAGGAAAGCAGTGGTATTAAGAGTCTTTTGTTGTATTACCGTGTGGAGAGTACACTCTGAGGTTGATGGGAATGGAAGAGATGCCCTTATTGGATCCTGTAATCCTGTCGGTTTCTGCTTCAATTTCCTGCCGGACTTCATCAAAGTCCACAAACTTCCTCCCTTTGCAGTGCAAGAACTCGGCATATTCTTCAAGACAGAGAGATGGAGAGTGTGATTAAGGGTGATAGGGAGATGGGCGGACGACATTTAAGCATCAAGGCAAACAAGACATTAAAACCATATTGTGGTATTTTCACCTAAAGCCTAAACAGTGTCACTGCCATAAAATGTAAGCATTTCACACCAGGGTTAGTATATAGTTAGCTAAAACTAAAACCACAAAAACATCCATTTATTATGATGTTAATATGTATAAAAAAAATATATATGTTTCAGCTATGCATTTGTACCATCCAGGAATTTAACCTCAAGAGAATTATTTTGCTTATGGAGTGCAGATCTGTTTGCTATAGTATAACACTTCTTTTTATTCAATATAAGCAGTTCAGCTTCGTTATGTTCCCCTTTATGGTCGATTATGCTTATTTGGTAGATCATTTGTTCTGTAATGTCTTTCTGTTTGAATTAATTCTCCATCTGCACTTCCATGTTCTCGCTACATTACATTACCTCATACTGAAAGCAATATAAATGATAATTGCTCATGAAGTGGCAGAGAGATGTAAATGTTACAAGGGGAAGTTTCAGAGGAGAACTGCCTTGTGTATGAAATCGGAATAAGATGAAATTATTAGTTAAAGATTAATCGTGTCGTTATTGTGTCACTAGCAACATGCAACTTTTCGAAATTTGGATGAAAATGGGTTTAACGTTTATTTAAATGACAGCAACGTTTTAGGGGGTTGAAAACTGCTTTTCAAATGGCATTTCACCATTTAATTTGGTAAAAACTACACAGCAACTCATTGGTCTTCATAACAGCCTGCCAAAATTTCGGTTTAACTTGAAGAAATTTTGACAGAAATATATTACTATAGTAAAGTCGAATGCACCGTAACTATACAAACAATTAAAACATTGCTTTTAAAAGATTTTTATCCCTTTTTTTAATTTAAACCTATGTTTGCTTGCCAAAAAATAAGAGGAATTGTTTCAATTTCGTTTGATTACATTGTATTAATTAAATTGCTAACATTTTATGCATTCATTTGATTACCAGTGTTTCAGTATTAAATCATAAAACACAGACTGCCGAAAATTAAAACGGACAACACAGAACAAAAAAAAAAAAAAAAGTAAAATAAACATTTCATAGGGCACTAACATTAAACAAATAAATTTCACAAAAATTCTATTGAATATATATATATATATATATATATATATGTATGTATGTATGTATGTATGTATATATATATATATATATATATATATATATATATATATATTTTTTTTTGTTATTATTATTATTATTAAAAAAATTGACATTTCAAGTCCAATCCAGAAAAATTAAAAATTTACGCGGAATTTGCAGAATTATTAAATTATAGGGCCCTTGATGTGTCATTTGATGCGACACATTTGCCACACTAAATATTACGGGCACCGTGTATGAATAAGCATGAAAGCGTGTGGTTTCAATCAACCACATATTACGTACCTGAGAAGGCTTTGTTCAGTTGTGCTCATTAACACACTCACCAGCTTTGTTGTTAACTAGCTGCAGAATGAGAGGTCTGCGGGTGACGATGCCTGAGCCTCGGGGAAGGAAATCCCTGTAAAAAAACAAAGAGATAAAGAGAAAGTGAGTATGGATGGACGAGAGGCAAACACTTCGGAGTCATTCATAGCAATTTTCAGGGGTGGTGAGTTTGATCAAATTATTCATGAGAGAGGAGCGAAGGTTTAGGAGCAACCTCTTTGCATTCATATCAGAACACACACACACAAACCAAGACGCTATCATGGTCCCTTGTAGCAATGAATATTAAAACATGGTGGCACCTTTTGAACGCCCACAATTCCAAAGAGGCTGCGATGCTTTTGCAAATGAATGGCCACAGCCGTATCTTGCATCCAAATCAGGGTACATTTAATAACTCGTGTATTATAAACAGCCTCTCAGATCAAACTGTGAGCAAAGAGCAGTTTCAGCCCTTTAAACCACAGGTTTAACACTGGGACACAGCCAGACACAACATGTACGGTTTTAATGCTAATATCAGGAAAAATGAGCCAGACATTCAATCAACCCACAAACAGAAATGCAAGTATGACACACACACAACACAGTTGTGAACACACAGCCCTGTTGCACATACATATAGTGTGTGTTCATGATACTGTGGTGGTTACAGCCTCCAGTACTCAAGGGGGCGATAGTGTCACCTTTAGATGTTGCTAGCTATAAACAAAAAAGTAGCATGTTATTACTTAAGCATTAAAGTGACTACATTTTCAGCAAAAAAAGTATATAACATAAGCGCAACCATAACAAGAATAGCAATGTACACTAGGAGATTTACAAGATTATTTACAATTAATATGCAATAAAAACACCCAAAATTACATATTTAAAAAATAGCTTGAATGCAACTCTACACCCTTGCTTCATTTAGTATGATGACCCATATGCAAATTAGCCCTGCCTCCACTCACTCACTACAAGTTGGTGTATCAGAATGTTAATGCGTTTTATGTATCGCTCTCTACAGTGTTGGACACATTACGGTAATTAGTATGATTAGCCTTTGGCTTGACTACGTTATGAAACAGCTAATGATGTGTTGCTAATGTTACACAAACCATGTTCCTGTTCGCCATCTCAGTAAGAGAGCTGCCTTCTAACAATCAGTATCTTTAGAAACACTTCGAACAACTCAGAACGTCAGTGGAGAAAGACATAATAGTTGATCATAACCTCATAATATACATCATACACCCGCTATATTGCTAAATCTACCCGATTTTCCATTTCAACAGAAACATTTACTGAGATAACCTGTCATCTCGAGACATCACTAAGGTAAAACCAGCAATTTCAAACCGTCTTTTTTTCACTGCAATTTTAAGGAAAAAAAACTCTTTAATGGTGTTGACTAATGAATTTACACATGGTTTGTCTTAAAACATATTAAAAACAACAGACATATAATCAACATTAAAAACTCGATTTTCACCACAGGGGGACTATAAAACGCCACAAGGCATAGGGATGTTTATTTTAGTTTGCTTTTAGAGGTTGTTCTCGTACTGTGTAATGACAGCAGACCTTCTCAGTCGCTTACAAATGGGAAAAACTATTGGTGTAGATTATTGTCGGTAGCCGATAGTTCTAGAAATCGGTTATCGGTACCGATAAATCGGCAAAACTGATCTATCGGTCAACCTAATATCTAGAAAATTAACCAAACAAACTAGCTCTGACATTAATCACAACATTGCAAACTGAAAATTAGATGAAATGTACAAGACATGTATTGATACTCTTTGATGAGGGAATATGGTTCTCATACCACAAAGCATTGCAAATTATGAAATAAGTCTTACAGTTAAAGCCAAAATAGAACCAATTTGTCAGAATTCATCATTGGTTTGCAAATCGACCTACACTGGTTGTGCTGTGTCTTCGATTCTTTAAAAGCGTCGAATGGGTCTCGTGACCTCAGATACCCACAGAGAAGACAATGAATAGTTGAATAAAGTCGTTATTTTTGCCGCTCAAAAAGTATTGTCGTCGCTTGATAAACTTAAAGTTGAGCCACTGTAGTCACTTGGACTATTTTAATTTATATTTTAATGATGTCTTTAATAACTTTTCTGGGCCGTCAGAATGAAATTACATAGAAGCCTATGAAGGAGTGAGAAAGCTCTCAGATTTCATCAAAAATATCTTGATGAATGTCCCGAAGATGAACGAAAGTCTTACAGGGTTGGAACAACATGAGGGTGAGTAGTTTCTGATAGGATTTTCATTTTTGGGTGAACTAACCCTTTAACTAATGCATAGGCTTATACAACTATTTAAAGGAATAGTTCACATAAAAATAAAAATTCTGTCATTATTTATTCACTCTAATGTTGTTGCAAACCAGTATGACTTTCTTAGAACCTAATTCTTCAAAATATTTTCTTAGAAGAAAGAAAGTAAGAAAGTTTGCAACATGATTAGTTGCAGGGTGCATGATGAATGAATTATATTTTGAATGAACCAATTCTTTAACAAAACTGCGCTATAAACAGGTCTGTTAACATAAAGAATTCTGTTAAAAATAATAATAATAATTCTAGAAACTACTCAAACTGTCGATCTACCATGATAGCAGCTGACCTGAAATATAAATTTGAACGTAGAAGAATTAGTTTATACTTTTACTTTGCGTCCGATATGTTTCAGGCCTTTGGTACACTATAAAACCACATTATGAAATGCCTATGATGTGTCTTTTTTTCCAAATGGGAACCTTTGAAGGCATCCCACATGCTGTGAGTGTGTTGAGCGTGTCTGCGGGTTCGAGAGTCGTCCAATCGCAGCCTGTCTTAATGAGTAAGCCTGTCTCTCCATGAGTTCCTGCTCTACATCTGGTCCTGATCAAAGCCAGTGCAGTCAGCTGTGAATCCAACAGCCATTTCCCTGAAATCACCGGCCCACCTAACGCACAATGCAGCAGAGCCCGAGGGGAAAGACAAACCATGCTTTAAAAACACACACAGACAGTAACACAAAAAAGAAAGGTCATACACAAAGAGATTATGAGACAAAACGTGGCTTGACAATAAGGACTGCCCAATGGCCCGGGGTTCCAGCTGTCACTGGAATTGTCAGTGGCGGCCAGACTGCTGTGTTGCCATGAAAGTTCATCATTTCCAAATGTTTCCAAAAGTCTTGCCAGCTTAAAGGTTCAGTAAGCGATTTTTGAGAAACGCTGTTGATATTTGAAATCCCCAAAGCAAACACGCCCCTATCTTGATAGCTCCGCCCCCAAATTCACAAACATGCTATGCAGCACAGGCACCTCCCCCCTCATGATTGGACACGCTCCTTACTGCTGATTGGCTTTTAACTTTTCTCAAAAATCACTTATTGCATCTTTAAAGGTGAAGTATATCATTTCTGCAACACTAGTGGCACCTAGGAGAATTACAAAAATAATAGGGGTGGGCAAAAAAAATAGATTTTTCGATTAATCGTTTTGTATTACATCCATATTCATTATAGTTTAATTGATAATCAAATCAGGAATCGAGAATCGAAAATGGAAATCGAATCGAACTGAGAGCTTGCGAATCGAAATCGAATAGAACATGTGAATCGATACCCAGCCCTAAAAAATAAGGCATATTTTCAAACAATCTTGGAAATGCCTCTTTCACGCCTCCATCAACTTAAACATCACGACAGCTCTTATTGGTTCTCCTTATCAATGCATGTCACAACATGTGTTTTCAATAAAATTTCCAAAATATTAGGAATAGTTTTAGCTGTATTGTTATGCGTCATGAGCAAGTACTGTAATTTAATAGACTTACACTTTGTCTAAGCTCTAGAGCGAATGGGCGTGCCTCACTTACAATAAACCTACCCAACGTGTCTGCACCGGGGCACATTTTTTGACATGACGTGCCACAACAGTTTGAGGCGGTCTATTACTGGACAAATCAAAGCAAAATTTCTAAACTAATTTCAATCCCTTAGGGTGCCTATGCAGCAGTGATCCACCTCTCAAATTTAAGCAAAAATATCTTCATTTGTGTTCCGAAGACGAACGAAGGTCTTTCGGGGGTTGGTACAGCATGGGGGTGAGTAATTAATAACTTAATTTTCATTTTTGGGTGAAATAACCCTTTAACCCTTATGCTGCATTAGGGACATTTTTGGTCTTTTGCAGTTTAATTTCTTTGACCATTTTGGCTGTTTTAATGCAAATGGTATGAAATTTGGCAAAATTGTGACTTTTTGGATACATGTAAAAAATGTGATCCCATTTTGCAAAATATGTATAACACACACTGTGTAGATCAAATAGTAACACTCAGCACCATAAAGACCAAAAATGGCCCATTGAAACCCATTAAAACGTTGTTTAAATCTGAGGCTGTCAGTAATACATGAAACATGATTTTTGCACAAACATCCTTTCATTTTGAAGCAAAAGCATTATATTTGCATTATATAGTGTATTCCACCAGATGACGTCACTACATATTTATTCCCTATGGGTGGAAATGCACCTTATTTTAGGCAATAGGCAATGTTTAATAGGTGGCCATTTTTGGTCTCTAGCGCGCTAAGTGGGATTTTTTGCAAAGTGGGACTGTGATAATCCAAATCTAAAGTTTTCTCGTTGCATTTAGTTTATTGAAAATAATTGGATTTTTGGGTTTTTTCCTCTTATACAAATCGATGGTTTCGCAAACAAAACTGGTAATTAAAGGGTTAAAATCCTGAAATTGAATAAATTTTTGGTATTTATGATGAGGACTGATGCTGGTTAAAAGATTTAACTTGGTAAAAGTGGAAAATAATAATAATATATAATATTTTAGGCAATGTTTAATATGTGGCCATTTTTGGTCCTTAATGCACTCAACGGTGTTAAAAATCTAATGCAGCACAAGGGTTAAGTAAGACAAACCATGTGCAAATTCATAAGTCAACACCTATTTTGAGTATTTAAAACTGCAGTGAACCAAAGACAGTCTCAAAAACACAGTTTGAAATCGCTGGTGTTTCTGACGTCAAAAACTACCTTGCAACCAATCAGGTCAACGTGTGATCGTCAACGAGTGGATCTCTAAACAGGTGTGAATGAGTGGAGGCGGGGCTAATTTGCCGTATCCTAAATGAAGCAAGGGTGTAGAGTTACATTCAAGCTATTTTAAGGCATGAAGATTTTTTTCCAAGGAAAAAACTTTTCCGAATGTGATTTTGGTGATCAAAATATGAGTTTTAAGGGATAATATTGTCTACAGGGGGAACGTAAACACTTGGGAACTTAACCCCTGGGGATAAAGGTGTATTTGGGGTCCTTGAGATGTTCTGACATGCCCTGACATTTGTGCTTTTTTAAGATTTTTAAAATTTCCATAGAGCTGAGCCCTGCAAAAGTAAGCAAGAGCTTTCAAGTGTGGCCTATGTTGAAGTCAGCCTGTTTGGCTGCATGAAGCACGTGGCTATATGACAATGGGCAATGCCTGCAGGGGGAGAAGAACGAACAAATACAGGCCATAGAGAGCTGTGTGCTGGCATAACCGCGCATCCATGGCTCTCGACTTACACCCACTCTGCCAGCAAAGTCAAACACCTACACACACCCACACACACTCATTAAAAAAGATGCCCAGCAAATACACACGTGCGCAACGGACCGAGGTGCTTCGCAAATAGGAACAAATTCACATATGGTATATGCTACGAGAGCTCCGGAAGACTCTTTGCTTCGTTTCTCGCTTCTTTCCAGAGCAAACAGGCAGGTGGGCTGCTGTCCATTATTCATGGGCTTTAAATGATAGAGGAGGCTGAGCAGATTGTGTATCATTTCATCCATTATGCATGCACAACCGCAGAGCGGTGCAGAGAGAGTGGAAAGAGACCGGGAGGGACAGACAGGACTCGTCTCACTTCAGATACACCCAGCGTGAGTCTCCATCCACCAGCTAATAACCTGCTCTCATTATACAAAATATATGCACAGAACAGAACAGCTCGGAAGAGTTCACTCATTATAGAGAGGATGGACATGGAAAACTACATTTTTCTTGTTTGCTTGAAATATGAGCGTGTAAACCCGCCAAGAATGGGTCTCGTTCAGCCCAAAATCAAAGAGAAACAAATGAGAAAAATGGAAGCCTATTTTTTGGGCCATTACGTTAGGTGATGTAATCATTTTTTTGGAATAGCAGGTATAAAATGTCCCAGACACCTGACTGATATATCACTGAAAATAGATGTGCTGAGTAATTACATCCGCCTCGAAGAGAAAAAAAAAAGTTAGCCCTCACTTTTCTAGCCAATCAGAAAAGTCTAGAAATGGGTCAGTGTGTGGTGGTGGTGCTTTACAGGGGATGGATTTAAAGATGTAGACTTCCCTTTTTGAGAGCGTTTTAACAGTGTTAGTCTATAGAACGGTAAAGCACAGCATGCTATTGAAGCTTGTTTCTTCTACAGAATAAAAAAAATAAAGGTAACTGCATTTTTTTAAATCTCACGAGTCACAATAATGACATTTTCCTCGCAATTGCGAGTTTAAATCTCGCAATTCTGACTTTTTTTCCCCAGAATTTTGTTTATAGCTCGCAATTCTGACTTTATAGCGTGCAATTGGGAGATATAAAGTCAGAATTGCATGATTTAATATCTCTCTGAAGGCAAGGGCGTGGTTAGCTGGTACCCTCTGACATCACAGGGTACCACAACTTCCAATAGGAAAATTCAACTACACAGTTACTAGGGGTGGGGGAAAAAAATCGATTCTCGATGCATCGCGATGCGGACGTGGACGATCCTGAATCGATTCACAAATGTCAAAAAATCGATTTCAAATTGAAATAGTATTTATAATAACGTAATATTGACGGAACGCGAAAGACGGAACTCTGAAGCGCGGAAGTGCAGTGGCCGGACCGTCTGTGGCGTGCACATAACAGAGATGAGATGGCACGCGAGATCCAAACACCTTCCTTGTTAGGTTAAAAGCTGACGTGTGGAAATATTTTGGCTTCTGAAGTTGAAGGGGGAAAGGAGCTGGACAAGAGCCGCACTAGTTGTACGCTTTGTGGAATAAAACCAACGACGGAAACACGACAAATATGATAAGCCATATGACACCTTTCCAGCCAGAGGAGGAAAAACACTCGGCTGCACCAGTCGTTATATTATTTATTTACTACAAGTATGCTCCTAGTTCAGGCACACATTTATTTTCCTGGTCGTTCTTTGTAATGTTAATAAAATATATTGTACATTAATTCTTTATGGGTCATTACTTTGTACTTTTAAAGCAAATTATTTATAGTCACACACAAAAGATTCAGATAATCGATTTGTAACATTACAAATGTCTTATACTTTAACTTTTGATCAACTTAATTTATCTTTGATGAATAAAAGTATAGATTTCTTTTTTGTTTTGCCCAAAAAATTAAATAAAAATTCTTACCGACTCCAAACATTTGAACGGTATTGTTTAATGTTACAAAAGCTTTTTATTTCAGACAAATGCTGTTCTTTTGAATTTCTGGGTGATTCTCTGAATCGGGTGCCCTTCAAGTCCCCCAAACTTGCTTCAAATATTTTCAATTGAAGGAAATCACAAAATACATTTTAATGCTGTCAATTAATAGAACACAATTGCAACACAATTGCTTTTGAAAAAAAATTTAAAGTTAATAAATGTAAAGATAATGAGTTGCCTAAGTAGTAGACAACAAGCATGTTTGCATGTCCTCACTAACCATCATAATATTTTCAATGAATATCAAACAAATAAAAAGTGCAATTAATACCAAAATGTTGCTGCTGCTAATCATATGTTGGTCTAGTGTATTTTCGTTTACGGTTACGTTTACTGTTTACTGTTACTTTACGAAATGGAAAAATCAATAATCGGTAATCGAGAATCGTTAATAATCGAAAATCGACTGTAATCGAATCGGGACTTCAATAATCGTAATCGAATCGAATCGGGAAATCAGACAGATTAACCACCCCTAACAGTTACCCAACCATGGTAATGAGGAGCCATATAGCCATTCATGGTTATGATCTTATGCTACAGTTAAACTAGGAACTATGTTAAAATATTCATAATGAGCACACAGTGGAGTCAAGGGCTTTAGAGCTGGACCTCCATGAATAATGGACCAAACTATCATTTTTCTCCTCTGATTGTTCGGAACAAATCTGTCCTTGTTTGCCTTTATGTATTCAAGAGATGACTTAAATCATTAAAAGCCTGATGAAAGGGAAGCTAAGAAGATATCTGAGCTTATAGATATTTCATTTTCATAATGAATTAATAATTGTTTAATTTATTTGATTAATTAATTTCATAATTCTAAAACAATGATCTCAGCCATGATTATTTATAACCGCCATTTTACAGAAATAGCGCTAACAGAATAACATTAAAATGTTAAAAAAAAAAATATTGGTAATTCGAACTTAGCACATCAGGTCGTCCATTCGCATACGATCTAGCCGCAGATGTACAAAAATTTCAATGCATTTGAAGAATGTTGATGAGTTTTTTTTATGTCCCACAGAAGAAAGAAAGTTTTACAGGTTTTAATGAATCCTGGGAATCCAAGGAACCAGGAAACCCAATTTGAATGATCGAGTGTTTTCATCATGAAAACACAAGTTTCTGTACACAGAGATCAGCCAATCAAAACAAAAGATGACGCAAAAGACAAATGTGAGACTTAAAGGTACAGCACCAAAAACATGCTGTTTAATCAACAATGAGACGGTGGAAAATGTTCATGTAACGTGCATATTTTTGGACGTGATCACAGTACCAGTTCTCAATGGTAAAAAAAAAATAAGTGTGTAAGTGCTGCACAATAAACATTTGGAATAACAAAAAACAAAAAAAATCCACTTCCTTTATCTCATACAATTCATAATTAATAACTGATGCGTTCAGGAAGAGTTTCACATTTGTCACAGAGCCTAACGCTGTGTTCTCGCTCCACTTTTATTATACTCCTCCCAGAGTGAACAACACAGCTAAATGAACAACAGCCCCACCTAAAGCAGCCGGCGGAGCCAGATAGCAGAAGTCACGCAGAACAATGACATCAGCCCTGCAATAAACAGCCATGATGGAGGCGCTGGCCTGCATATTGGATCAAGTCGGGTGAAACCAGCAGGAGAAAGATCTTGAAAATCCAGTTCGGCGGGATGAAATTTGACCAACAATCTCAACTCATTCCACTTGGCATGTTTTAACGGCAGATGCGACATTGATTGGGCTAATTAATATGTGTAACTTACTAATGTTTACTGAGCTCTGATTGTGTCCGAGAGATGAATAGTGCTTTTGTTTGTAAATTCCCAGCTGTCTAAATGTTAGTATGGCGGATAAAGGCCCGACAGAAGGTCAGAGAGCTTGCTAAAGCACTAAGGTAACACTGGTGCTCATAACGTGCCATCCAGTTTTTATTATTATATTTGAAAAGACGTTGTTTATCAGACTCTGTGCTCCAGTGGTTATTTATTCAAATACGGTGTCGCCTATGCAGCCAATTGAGCTCTCACGCCAGATGGAAAGTGTGCCAGTTTGAAAGAGTTTCGAGTCAGCTGACAGAACAGTCTTGCCCGTATTCGTATTGAGCCAATGAACTCAAGTCATAACGTGCACTTGCATATGTTTTTATGATAAGAAATAAATATTCAGTCAGTTATATCTTACAGACGGGACAAAACATCTGATATGCTATATTAGATCTGTGAATGTGTGTGAATGCGATCTATTTCACCTGCCGCTGTCTTACAGTTATTCATTCTTAAAAGGGGTTATGTGTAAGAATTTGCATGTATTAATCGCTTTTTGCATTGCCAATGTGTGAACAGCTTGTGTTAACTTGAAAACCGAGACCTTCCTCGACTTCCTAGGTGAAGGACTTGGGGTGGTGTCACCAGTTAAATCAAAAGGAAGCGGTGTTAACGTGTGCTGCTTCCTTTTGAATTAACTGGTGACACCTCCAAGAACCTCTCTTACATTCACATGAAACAAATGCGTACAATGTTCAGGATAATGCCAAAAAAGAGCTACTGCAATGTCCCCAAAGTCCAAACCATAGTCTTACATAGCCTATACATAGACTCGAATATACTTTATAATCAAACTATCATAACTCATGCTAATTGCCTCATCTGTTGACTAGGGCTGGGTATCGAATAATACCTTGAATTCAATACTGGTTCTTTTTTTTCTATACCAATTTTATGAAATCCATTTTAACAAGATTACATTACATATTACCTAAAAATATGCAATTCTCATTTTCTAATTTAAAAATTCTGATTTTAGTGCCATTTTAACTGCATTCCAATTCATCACACAGTCATTTGTTGCCCTGCATCATGTTCGTAACTAAACTGCAGGTCTAGGCTTAAGGCGTTATTTTTTTTTCCATAATTAATTGCACCCAAAAATATACAGTTGATAGACATTACATCCCCACTCGCAACAGATTAATAAAATAATTAATTTTTTGTAACTTGCCAGTGACTAATGGGTCTTAAAGAAGCACTGTATAAGGCTGGTCTCTGCTCACTTGATTTGCTTCATAGGAGGAGTACAGATACATTGCAGATGCATTCAAAAACAGGTAGAGGAAGTGTATCTGAATAGCGTCTCAGATGGGTTTTAAAAAATGTTGACTATTTTTAACTTGCCAGGCCACTTTGGGGCATTTAATAAACTATAATAAATTATAACTAGTCAAATAAATCCTTATTGTTAAGTCAAAAGTTCGATAACATCAGAAACATGGCTGAAAAACAAACAAAACAAGACTTTTCTAGGGTTCAGTGCTTTTATTCCAAGTAAACCAAGTTAAACCCATCAAACAGCCCACGGTCTGATCAAACTCAATAAACTGGAGCGAGTGAATTCAAATAACACCACCTGTGAGACACAACCCATTCCAGGAAACCATTCCTCTGAGCCTTACAGTCTCACAACAACTAAAGACTCATAAACAATAACCAATTAAGTTTACTGGACTCTCACAGCAGTACAAGAACATGCCTCTGAGCGCCATGAAAACAGGCCTAATTAAAATCACAAAAGTCTTTCAGATGAAATGTAGTCTATGTTTGTCTACGTCGGTGATTAGAAACGAGAGCTTCCAGAAATTCCTGATGAGCAGACATGTGTTAGGTGATCGCAAGTGTGTGACTCCATTTTGCCTCCCTGAAGGACGGCCCTGCCCTGCCCTGCCTCTATCATAAACACTGCACAAACGCACACACAAACATGTTATTTCTATAAGCATGAATGCGTTTAACTAAGCTTATGGCAACAATTCCCATTCTTTCTGACAATAAAGCACTTGAACGTGACTAGCTCGTAAACATAACTTCAGGTATGGGAAGTTGGGTACTTCAGCATTGGTGTCTGTGAATACTTGACAGGTTTGGTTCGATGAAAACGCACTACTTTGAGATTTCTCTATATGTGCGGTTCATTTGAATGAGTGTGAATGGAACGCTGGCATTCGAACCCTGGAGCGAACCCTGGCCGAGACCCACACTTTCAGCTTCCAAAAAACTCTGGTGCGATTCGACTAAAATATAATAATACACAAGACGGACCAAAGATATCTAAACGAACAAAAAAATAGGAGGATGTGATGTCACAAGCTACGCTGCCTATTGGAGTTTGGTACAAGTGTCAGAAATGCTGTCTCTTTTTGCAGTAGATCTTCATTTGAGAGAAATGGAAAAAAAAATAAAAATTGGTCCAGACCAAAAGAACGAAGTGTGAACAACACTCTAAATTGACCATTTATGCATTTTTTATTAATTATTTGAGAATTATGGATGATATCTAAAAATCCTTAAATTTTTAGAGCGATTCGGTAATAAACCATTCAGACCAATTCAGAGTCAGTTTCATTCAAAATTGGTCAATTTACTCAAAAGACCGATTACTGTGTGTTTAGTGTTGTCAAAAGTACAGACTTCGGTATCAAATTTTAAATATGTGACGATACCAGCAATTCCCTCTAGCATTGAACTGATTCTTAAACACCTCTGATTGGCCATTGTGTTGTTCAAACGCTTAACATATAGGCTATGTCTGTGATTGGCTACAATGATCAATGTTTGAAAACATGTTTTTTTCATTGAGCGCTTACACAGATCCGTCTATCAGTGGATATATTAGCAATCCGCTAATAGACGCCTGCTTTTAAACACTTGTATCTGTGCAAGTGCTAGGTGAAGATAAAGTTTTGGAAGCGTTGATCAATGTAGCCAATCACAGACGAGCATGTGAACACTATGACCAATCAGAGACACAAATGTTGAGCACGTGAACACAATTGCCAATCAGAGACGTATATGTTGAGCGTGTGATTGAATGGCCAATCGGAGGTGTTTAAGAATCCCTTCACAAGCGGGGAACTGCTGGTTAAAATGTCAGTACCGACTTGGTACAGAAGTGGGAACTTTTTACAACACTATACAACAAGTTTTGTTCTACACCAAATTTAGCTAATGAAATATTAACATTAAGCAAGTTTTGAAACTTTTTCAGGCTTGGAAAACCTTACAATTCCATGATATTTCCAGCTTTTCCATGGCATTATGAATGGAAAGTCTCTTTCAGGACATGTAGCCTATCCTACATCACACCCACAAGCTTATCAAACAATGATTCATCTATGCAATCAGGCCCATAGTGATAAAACATCAAGAAATATGACGTCAGAGATTTGTGATGATAATGAAATATGATGACTCAGACAGACGGCATTTCTATGACTTTCCAAAAGAGGAAAAAAAAGAAGAGAGAGAAAGATCAACATGACTTTTGCGTAAACATACACACCACTTTCAAGTCAAGTGGTGTGTTATCTGATACGCATTTTGAGCTATCCGTGTGTATGCGTGTATGTCTACGCCGTTAAATGTCTGAGCGAAACAAATCAAAATGTAGATCTACATCTGGGGAGCGATATTTTTTTTCCTAGGATGGCAGGGGAAGACCCAGTGACGGGTAGGTTTAGAGACGGGGTTGGGGTAGGTCATATATTTATACAATAATGTAACGTTAAGTTAACGGCATTCATAAACACGCTGAAAAGCGATTATGCGTGTTGATAGCACGCCAAAAATGGAAATACGAATTGGCGTGTCATACATACGCCATTTCATGAGATCAGTCTGGTGAGGGTGTCGTTGAAGTCGTGACACCACAGTGTAGTTTGTTTATAGCATGCATACCTTTAGCTTTTTACTTCTGACAACTATTGTTTTGTTCCCATCCACATGTGTTTATCCGAATTAAGTGATATCGAATGACAAATGCCTTATGGAAACGATTGAATTTCATGAATATCGACTCAAATTTTATCTTGATCGATATACGGCTAATGGTATAAACGCTGATGGAAAGTTATTATGGTGGGATCCATTTTTTGTCTAGCACATGTTTGCTTGAATGTTGTGCAATTCGGTGAGAAAATTAATGGAAACACCTTAACATGTCTCAAATCAATTTGATATACCAATTTGATCGCAAAACAGCATGTGGCATCATTTCGCATTATTCACTTTAAAGCCGTTTGATGGAAACATACTTTCACCAGCTTTATTCGCATGAGGTTTTTTACCGGACTTCATATAATTCGCTTGACAAGTGGATGGAAACTTGGCTTGTATTTAGGCTTCAGAATTCAAGTTATCTTCTGCGAAAATGACCTTAATAGACAAAATGTGCAAGTATCATAAACAATACTTCAGTCCCAACACCCATTGTCATTTATGACTCACCATGACGGATCAGGCTGATATTGTGTAATCTAAACCTGGCTTAAGATGCCAAATATAGCTTTACCTAATAGTTTATGTCTAAATTCTACTCTCAGTTCCAACAATGATTGTTGATCCTGTAATGGCCAAACCAGCCCAACCTGATTATGAAATCCAAGATAATGTTGCTATGCATCCTTAGCCACCGGGAGACACCTCTAGGGATGTTCATTTCACTGAGAAACATACTGTAACTTATTTTGCATGGATATCATATAAAATCTGTTTTTATCATGCATGCTTTTCCTAATCATCTCAAAACTGATAAATATATCAGTCTGTCACGACTAATCAGCTTCATTGACAAAAGAAATGGATACATGCATACACAAGCTCTCGAGAGACGAATGTTTATGGGAAATGGAAACTGAATTTCAGACAATTAGTCTGATTCATACTCTGCCCTCTACAAAACATCATCAAGACTAAATGTATTCAAATTGGACCGGAGACAGAGCAGTCACATCAGGAAGATTGTGGGAGGAAATGAATGCAGGAAGGTGCAGCTCAAAATGCAAAAGAAATATTGACAGTAACAATCTTCTATATGCCTTCCTCTCCCAGATGAGAGTGAGCAGGACTGATTTGGTATCGGTGAGGTTTGAGAGGCCTATCAGTGACTGCTGTCTGATACAGGTGTGGCTGGCAGTGCAGTGACCTCGGCTATGAATATTTGCAAAACAAGCGGTTGCCCACACAAAACCCAAGGTCAGGTGGAACAGGATCACTCCCTCCTGTATACAATACATAATACTTAATTCAGCTTATTTGTCACAAGATAATAGCATGTAAAGAGTATGCAGAACTAGTATGTAGCTAGTATAAGTGAACCGTTTAGATATGTGCTATTTTCTGAAACATTTTGATTTTTAATGATTTTTTTTTTTTAATTGAAAATGGCCATTGCTGTAGCGCTTAAAAACCTAGTTTTCATTACTGTCTGCACAATGAAAATAATGCTGAAAATGTATGTAATTGAGTATTCATGCTTGTACCGCTTCTAAATGATTCTGATTTAAACAGAAAAAAAATTAAATGGTCTACTACAATAATGAGAATCTAATTTAAAAGACCTTTAAAAGTAAGTATTACAATGATGCATTACGGTAATGATATGGGCTACTTTTAAAACATTGCGATTTTTAATCAATTATGATTTTCTTCGAGTAGTAATGGTCATAATTATTATTTGAATTAAAAAACATTGTCATGCTATAATGTGGGAATAATATTGATATTTTTAAGTGTTTATTCAAAGTAATTGCAAAGTATTTATATGTGACAATTATTCTGGTTTAAAAAAAAAGTATGTATTACTATTACAAAAATGAGAATCTAATTTAAAGCAGCACTATGTAGTTTTTTCAACCTTTATAATATTTTTCCAAAACACTCGAGATGGTACATCAACTTACAATAAGTTGAATGACAGGTCTGCCATAGCCTGACCTGGTCTTTATCTCTTTTACTGGCACTCTATATTTTTGGGGAGCGGGTAGGAACCCGAGCACAAAAAGAACTACAAAATTCGACTGTTTTACGGCATACATCACTTCCTTAAATTCCGATGCGAGACGAAAGCAACGAGCGTTTTTTTTTTACCTCAGTATGTTGTCATGGCTGAAGCAGAAAGTAAAATCAAATGTCAAGTGCATCAGAAATAGAGTGGGGGCAATCAATTTTTACTGTTGGTAAAGTGTTATGAAGCTCCGCCCCTCACCGCATCCAATGTAGACTGGATTGCTTTCTTTTGAGGAGGCTTAACACACTTAAGCATCCCCGTAGAGTCGGGACGGGCAGCTCGCACCAGCTCGAGACGTGAAAGTATACTGATTACTGAGTTTGGTGGGGGCAACATTTTTGCAAGTAAATAAAACACGATTAGACGAACAAAATAATTGGTCAGGATAACTATACTATGTCTGCAGGCTGATAAGTCATGTTTGTTACTTATTTTTCTGGTGAAAGTGTCTTGCCTCAGGCTATAATGCAAATCGATTTTTCAAATTTGCAGATTCATCTATGGTAGCTTGATATTATAATATTGACGACATGGCTATTATCTACCAACAAACATTGAATTAAATTAGCATATCCATTATGTAAAACAGTAGCTAATAGGCTAACGTTAATATAAAGACGCTGGCTTGTAAACGTGAGCTACGTGATCTTTTGACGTTTGGAAAAAAAAAAAAAAAGCCCATGACACTATATTCATAAGACATGCTGAGATATATGCCAATGTACCTGGGATGAAGACATTTCACACGCAACACTGGAGTCTGCCCAAGATGTGAGAACTTCTTCATTCTCCAGAGTTCCGGGGAATCGCTTGTCAACAAATGCGCGCGTGTATTCCCTGGTGTAACCGTGACAGATTTTACGACAGTAGTAGAAGACAATACTGTTTCCCAACTGTAGAGGGACCCCGAGAGCAAAATTTCGAAAATAGCATAATGCTGCTTTAAAGTACCTTCAAAAGTAAATATTACAATGACGCATTATGATGATGATATTTTATTTTAGGGCAATTTTTAATGAATTATGTTTTCGTTCTTTCTCTTACCAAATGGTCATATTTCTCATCACCACAATTTGGAAATACTTTATTGCAATTTGAATCAAAATACTCAGAATTGTATTACAATAATACATCTAATAGAAAAATCTTCAAAAATACTAATAATTCTGGTGTTTTATAGTAAATTGTTTGAAATGTGCTTATTAATCTCGCAATGGAAAAAGAATCGTTGCACTAAGAAAACAATTACCTTGATTAATCGCTGTATTAAAAAAAATACCATGGTACCACTCTTTTCTCTGATGCACCTTGGAGTATTTCGCAAATTTCACGGCACATAAATATCACGACACAATTAGTGCCATGTTATATATTAAAATACAATTTAATTACCTCCTAAATGAATTACTCAACCATGTTAGAGTTTTTAAAAGCTCATATACACAAAAGCATGACGTCAATTTTTAGAGAAGTGTCAGTGTCGTCACTGTCATGTAAACACGTTAACACTGTGAATGAGGAAATGACTTTAACAACCTAAGACACAGCAATGGATATCTTAGCGGTTTTGGTTTCCCGTTTTGGCAATTCAACTCTCAAGGTTGACACCAGGGTTATAACTTCATCGGTGTTTGTGTGTGTGTGCTGTGTGCAGTGCACTGTGTGCCGCCAACTTCCCCATTTAGCGCTCCGCTCCCACTTACGCCCATTTCATTTCAATGAATGAAGGCGAGCGTCTGCTTACGTCAACTGCGTAACTCGCATCTGTGAATTACACCCTATCCAAGTGAATCGAGTGTAAAAACGCAGCTGGGAAGTAATAAATAAGACGTGTCTCTTCGTATTGGGTTGGATATTGATAAATGTAGCGACCTAAGCGTTTGCACGCGATCAGAGTCAAACCAAAATAGAAATTGATAACATAATAATAACCAACCTGCCGACGAAATTTTCCAGCACGGAGCTTTTTCCGGCGCTCTGTCCTCCGACCACGGCTATCTGCGGCAGGTCCAAGTTACAACTTTGGCCAATGGAACTGAAAGCATCTTGGAGTTTATTGATCAGGGGGATCAAATCCTCCATCCCCCGGTTGCCCATGGTTTCTGACCGTCTCTCGGCGCGCAGGAACGGGCTCGCGGCAGCACGGCACTCGGGTTACTCTCAAGTGTTCAATTTCCACCCTTCAAACACTTCCAGATCAGTCTGTCAAAGACTAATAACTCACAAGTTACTCGCTAACTGGCAGATGGCACGTATTACGGCGAATTCGTTAAGATCCGTGTTGTGATCTGAGGATAAATCATTCGTAAACTCACAAAACAAAACTTCTCGCTATCATCCGGTCAGGCGACATCCGACCTCCACCGGTGACGCGAGTCCCGCCTCCTGTCAACCGATGTCGTGCTGTCCGATTGGTCCGACGAGCGCTTCCTGGTGTGTTCTGTCTTTTGATTGGCTCAACCTTCTTTTTGACTCAAACTGCTGAGGAGTGCTATTGGACGGCTCTAATGTCAATTTAGTTTCAACGTCAACGTTGAAATATTGTACAAATAAACAATAATTACGATTTTATTCAATGATAAATATACAATTTCTGTAAAATCGCCATGAATAAATTAACCATGTTAACAGTTTAATAATTTGTATTATATTTTCTTCCTATGAGAACACAATGAATACATTTTGTTTGGGGTCTCCGGTTTGTTATATACCCAGTAGTAGAAAAAAAAGATCACATCACATTCTCACAATCATGCAACATTATATTTATTTTAGGATTCTGATGTGGTTCATGAGTCATTTCTTGTGAAGGGAAGTCCGACTGCAACTGCGAATCGGTTCCTTTAAACAGTTGGTTCAAAACAATTATCCATTGATTATTTTTAATAATCCGTTAAACTGTTTTATTTAACTTTTATAAATAAGGTCCCTAACCATAGTTTTATTACAGGTAAAGTGTAGTAAGCATGTTTTTTGAACCATGTTCTATTTGTAAACCACATTTATTTTCTACAAAATCTATGATTAATTTATCAAAACCATGGTTAATGTGTGGTTTACTGATTCGCGTACGAATCGTTTGGCTCTTCTTGACGAATCGCTATTGAGTCGGATCTTTTTGATGAATCGCTATTCAAAATGGCTGCGCCCGGCACACATGAGTGTGTAGACAGTATGGCATCAGTAAAGGCTGCATCCTCTGCTGCTCCTCTCGTTCTTCGTATCGTGGCGGAGTGTCCTGTGAGCAAGGCAAGAGCCTGCACACTTACACTTCCACACTGCGCAGTAAACACCCCGGTGTTCATGCCGGTGGGCACTCAGGGTACCCTGAAAGGCATCACTGTAGACCAGCTGGAGGATCTGGACTGCCAGATATGCCTGGGGAACACATATCATCTCGGCATGAGACCGGTATGTGAGAGAGGAAATACTTCAAATTTTGTTTTGAGTGTTTCATCAGAACCAAAGCACTATGTTTAAAACTTACTTAACTGTTGTTGTATGTGTCCTAACAGGGTCCTGAGTTAATAGAGAAAGCCAATGGATTGCACGGGTTTATGAAGTGGAATAGAAATCTCTTAACGGTGACTATTATTATTCTCAAATTATTCCCAAACACCAAAAGTACTATTAAAAGTCAAACGTAGAGACAGCAACGTAGTATTGTCCCAGACCCAGCCCACATCTGGTACTGTTGATGTACCAGATGTGGCCCGGATCTGGGTTAACACTATATGTCGCTGTCTGTGATGGTTTGTTTTATTATTTTTCCAATGCAGATTTAGCAAAGTTTCTGTTCGAAGGATACAGCCGGCTGGAAATGTTATAAAATTTGAGCGATTTTAGATTATTTAAGAAATTAGGTCATGCTGCAGTGTATATTCTTTCTGACAAAATGATTTTTTTTTTTTTTTTACCTTGAATGCATGTAAACCCGTTTGTAGGAGAATCCCAGAGTTCAGCATTTCACCCCCAAATTCCTTTTAACAGGACAGTGGCGGGTTCCAGATGGTGTCTCTAGTGGAGCTGTCTGAGGTGACGGAGGAGGGCGTGACGTTCCGTTCCCCTTACGATGGAAAGGAAATCCTGCTCACCCCGGAGCAATCCATCGGCATACAGAACAGCCTCGGTGCGGGTCACAGGGTTATTGTACTTAACTAAAACTACGGTTAGTTCACCAAAAAATTCTGTCATCATTTACTCACCCTCATGTTGTCGTGGTTGATCTTCGGTTTACAATATTTGATGTGCTCTATATTCGTTCCCTGATCAATTTTTAAATGTGAATAAAATACTAAATTCAATCTGTCCATCTTATAACGCAATAGTTTTACAATCTCTTTATGAGCTTTTCGAAGTGTCAGAGTTTTGGGTGAATAAACTTTCAGAAAGCTCTCAGATTTCATTCAAAATATTTTCATTTGTGTTCAAAATATGAACGAAAGTCATATGGGTTTGAAACAATAAGAGGGTGACTAAAGGATGACAGAATTGTCATTGTGAAATAAATATAAAAAACGGAAACTTTTTAAATTTAGTTTAACTTGATGTAATAAAATGACTAAACAACATTGTTTAAAATTAAACACTATACAGTAATATTTTTTAAAACTTTTAATACTAATATATTTTACTTAAAGGTGCATTGCGCAACATTTCATGTTAAAAATACCTGTTTTTTTGTAAACCATACATGCTTAAACAATTGCCTGATGGTCTGAATGAGCCCTTCTCTGATCACTGCAATTGCCTCTATAATCCTGTACAGTAAAATAAATAAGGGGATTCGGGACGGAATTAGAGACTGGGCGTGACGTCATGCGTGTTCACAGGTTTGTTTATTCGCCGGTATTCTCTGTATCAGCGAACTCGAGCGACACAACTTTAGTCAATTTTCGACAAAAAAGTAGAAGATGGATTCAAAGAGACCGGCTTGTAGTTCATTCCAAACCCTAACGCAAACTCCACGCAAGACAAAGAAAATAAAACTTTTGTCTAGTGCCAGGAGTCAGAATAAGACGAGAGTCAACATCGGGAAGCTTTCAACAAATGGAGAGGTCTCCGGTCGGCTCTAGGGCTCAAATGGGATCTTATACAGTGTAATAACTTGTATTGTTCATGAATGTTTTTCCATAATGATACAATCGTAAGTGGATACAGTACGCACATAAAACAGTTCAACATGAAGATAGATGGAAACAAAAACCGAAGTTTTCTACTACCCCCGTTTTCCCCTCACACACACACACATAAGTGTGTAATTTACTCGAATGCCTTTCCTTTCATATATTTAAAATGACTTGCATATTTATAACTTTATTACATTATGACTGTAACAAAAGATTTGTGCGGCTGATGCTCCTTTTGTAATGAACAGCTCGTGCAAGCGTGCGTGTGCGTACACACCTCTGGTTGCAGTTTCGCTTGTCGCCAGAGGGGGCATAGTTCTGCAAAAACTCAAGAGACTTGCGCAATGCACCTTTAATATATTTTACTATAATACTTAATACATTTTTCATACTTATTAATAAAACTTTCACATTTAAATAAAGATGGGTAAAATGAACATAAAAACTTATTCAAAATATAATTAATATGAAATAGTATAAAAACTCGCAATAACCCTTTGAGGTCGAGTAACGCGGCTCCACGTTTTGGAGTTTTTTTTTTCACATAGCTGCAGTATAGACTTAAAATACTTTGTCATTAATGGTCATATAAACAAAATCAATACATGATTATAAACTATAGAGGGTCTTCTTTTTTGTGTGCACTAACATCAAAACTTTGTGTTTTTGTAAAATAAATAAAATAAAGCTTTCAGCTCACTCTGTCTCCGCAAAAATCTTTCTGAAACGCGTCTGAAAAATTATTTGTAACTCAGTAAATTGTCACAGAGACACGATAGATTTCTCTTTATGAAGCTGAAATTCTCTTCTTTTAAATGAAGCAATTTATATAAAAACAACTATTCCTAGTTGATGTAATCTGTATGAAAACAGAGAGACGGTCTTTTTTCCTTTCACCTAATTTTAGCGTATGATGTGTTAATGTGACCTGAGAGCGTGTGCTATTCAAACGGTAACTTGTATAAAAACTATATGTATATTATGTAGTGTATATCAATGAACCTAAAATGACACTGATGATTCGTGTGTCAGATCCTCGTCTCAGTCATGCTCACACATGCTTGTTGAACTCTGTGTGCAGGTTCAGACATCATGATGCAGCTGGATGACGTGGTCAGTAGTACGGTGAAAGGCCCGCGGGTGGAGGAGGCCATGCACCGCTCCGTTCGCTGGCTGGACCGCTGCATCAAGGCAAATAAGAACCCGGACCGACAGAACCTGTTCGCCATCATTCAAGGGGGGCTCGATGCCAAACTGCGCAAGGCCTGTTTAGATGGTGAGCGCTCCAGGACTGCAGAAGTGTGTCTGTTATGATTGAGTGGCATTAGAGCGACAGCACATGGTAAAAATCATATTAAAACTCCATTAACAGGCAAAAGTTTGGGGTTCGTAAGAATCGTATTAAAGAAATAAACACTTTTATTCAGCAAGGACACAGCACAGGTTAGTTTGATCAAGACGTTTATAATATTACACAATATTTCTATTTCAAATAAACTTTCTATTCATCAAAGAATCATGGAGAAAAAAAGTCACAATTTCTATAAAAATATAATCTGTTTCCATTCAAAGTTGGGATTTTAATATCGCAGAACAAAGAGTTCCCATGTGTTCAAGAGAACAAAATGGTCATTTCTTGGGAAACTGATTAAAAATATCAGCAATAAAAATGGAAGTTGCTCCAATAAGGGAAGCCACTGTGACCTTTTTACATGTACGTCATAAATGCACCGATGAAACGCTGTCCTATTTCTTTGGCTCAGGCATTTCAGAACGACCAAATCAACATTTGAGATTCTCTGCTATCAAATTGAAATCCCCTGAGGGAAAGTCTTGTGGTTTATTGGCTGCCCGTCAATTTTTTTAATGTTGTTTTATCGGATGCAATATCCTAAAATTTGCATTAACATAAAATAAGAAATAGAGCATCAAATCATCATATTAGAATGATTTCTGAGGGATCATGTGACACTGAAGACTGGAGTAATGATTAGGGTTGGGTATCGTTTGAATTTGAACGATTCTGATTCCGATTCCGATTCCTTGTTTCGATTCCGGTTCCCAACGATTCTCGATTCCGATTCTTTTAAGAGGCAGGGTCAAAAAAGTTTAGCTAACCTTGCTAACCAACGGTCTTTCTGAAGGAAATACTCCTTCTGTCACAAATACTCCTTTTGTCACAAATTTAGCATTTTGCCGAGATTTCGTTATTTTTAGAAAAGTGAAGCTACACTTTGGACCGCCGACGTAAGCTACTCATGTTCGACTCGCGCGGTTATGCCAACACTTCCGGTAGACGCTTCTTCGTTGGTGTTGTTCAGCGGTTTCTTCTTCTGGTCGGCGGACTGTGAATATCGAAACTAGGAAACGAAATTTTAACTTTTGAACGATTCCGGGAAAAATGAAAAGTTAGTCCCGGTTCCAATCGATACTCGATTCTCGATACCCAACCCTAGTAATGATGCAGGAATAAATGACATTTTACAATATGTTACAATAGAAAACTGTTATTTTATTTAGCCTTGATGAGCACAAGAGACTTCTTTCAAAAACATGAATACATTTTACCGACTCCGTAAAGGATTTGGACACGTCTAAATATTTGGATGGCATTAATTTAGAGGCAAAATATCAAATCAAATCAAGTGGCCTCTTCAATTTTCTTTCGCCAGCTGGTTTCAGACTCACTTCTCCTCAGTTTCACACAGATGGAGGAACCACAGATGTAGTTCATCACACTATGAACGTGATACACTAACATTTTTCAAACGCAAACCAGAAGCATTAAACATAATTACTCTCCACCTTGCTAAAAAAAATGTATTTCCCGTTTCTTCACTCAGAAATGACGAAGCGTGATGTGCCGGGCTTCGCCATTGGTGGGTTGAGTGGGGGAGAGGAAAAGGATGACTTCTGGAAGATGGTGACTCTCAGCACACACCACCTCCCCAGAGAAAAGCCCCGCTACCTCATGGGAGTCGGGTAAGACACACTTCCTTTGAATTTGTGCTTGTGCTTTCGTTTACTATTGGTAGATGTGTCATTATTTGTGAGTATTGTTTGTTGATTGTCTCTTTACGGTGTGTTTTAGCTATGCACTAGACCTGGTGGTCTGTGTTGCCTTGGGCTGTGATATGTTTGACTGTGTCTTCCCAACTCGAACAGCAGTGAGTGATGCATTTCCCTTTCTGTTTAGTTTGGAGTCAGTACAGTTTTTAATGTCTTTGAAAGAAGTCTCACCAGGCTGCATTTTATTTGATCAAAAATACAGTAAAAACAGTAATATTGTGAACGGTTTTCTATTGTAATATGTTTTTAAAATGTCATTTATTCCTGTGATCAAAGCATCATCACTCCAGTCGTGTCACATGATCCTTCAGAAATCATTCTAATATGTTCAAGAGAGCTGCATTTATTTGAAATAGAAATATTTTGCTTGATTGTTGTCCAACACGTCACAATATTCCTCATTTAAATAAATTCCGCCCAAGGCATACGCCAAATAAAGGGGGCGGGGCCTGGTTGAGCTGCATTAATAGTGTTGAAACTCACAGTTATGGTCCGGGCCAGTTGACTAATCAAAACAGAATGATCCGGCTGACCAATCAGAGCACATTGTGCGTTTCAGAAGCAGGGGATTCATAGAGAAAGGAACTAAACAGAGTGATACTGACAGACTGGGAAGAGAGGTGCTGCAACAATGTCAAATATGTGAAAAATAATGTGTTTACATATTCTAGGAGTCCCCGAAAAGATAATCCTCTTTAGACCTGTAGAAATAGTAGATTAATCCAGTATAAATGTTTACTATGATCTTGTCAGTATTTCTCTCATTTTAATGAGGCAATGTCTGGTTGTTTCAGAGATTTGGATCCGCTTTAGTTCCCTGGGGATCTCTGCAGCTCAAACAGAAACAATATGCTAAAGACTTTCAGCCGATTGATCCTGACTGCCAGTGTCCCACCTGCAAGAGGTATGGACATCTGTCTGGAAGTTAACTGACTAAATTGTAATTATTATTGTTAAATTGATGTTCAGCTGTCTGCTGTGCTAAGGAATAGTCCCGGGTCAAATTCAGAAAATCTCTCTACTTCAAAACCTAAAGATGATTTGTGAATCCTTTTTTCATTGTCAGACACAGTCGGGCTTACCTTCACGCCCTGTTCAAGAGCGACACTGCAGCCATGCATCACATCACCATCCATAACATCTCTTACCAGGTAATTATCAACCAGGCTGACAGATGCATTACACGTTGTTTAGACACAGTGTGTGTTATTACTGCAGGTCGCTTAATTTCTTCCTGTCCACGTCAGCTCACGCTCATGCGCTCAGTGCGTCAGAGCATCATAGATCAGAGGTTTCCTGAGTTTGTGAAGGCGTTCATGAAGAGGATGTTCCCGTCCAGCGATCAGTACCCCAGCTGGGCTGTAGAGGCACTGCAGTCAGTCAACATCACCGTCAGCTGAGACGCCCACACCAGGAACATGAAGACAAGAAACACACTTGCTGTTTTTTTTTTAATGGATCTGGCTCTTTTTTTAAATGCTTACATTTTTAACATATAATATGTGAAATATACCTGTTTTGTAAATAAAAACTTAAAAAAAATCTATGCTCTTTCACCAAAATAATCAAATGTGAAATGGTAACGTTGACTTTTTTTATAGAATATATTTAGTTTTTGTCTTCATTTTGAACAGCATATCTTTATCATATTACCTTTTTCTTTTAATATTACTACAGGTGAGCGAACAAATGTGTAATATTACGTTTATTTTTTATTCATAACATCAATATAGTCTCGTTTGTAACACCATAAATATAACCCTTATGGGATTGTGTGTGTTTATGATATACGTACACACACACACAAATTATAACGTTCAAAAATGTGGGATTGGTAAGTTTAATGTTTTTGAAAGAACTCCCTTATGCTGCATTTATTTGATCAAAATAGTAATATTGTGAAATATCACTATTTAAAATGTGAATTTATTGTAAAATGTTTGTAATTTATTCAGTGATCAAAGCTGAATTTGCAGTATCGTTACTCCATTAGTGTCACGTGATCCTTAGGAAATCATTCTAATATGATGTTTTGGCGCTCAAGAAACATTTATTAATATTATAGATGTAAAAAAAAACTGTACTGCTCTCAACTTAATACATTCTTGCTAATATAAACGTATTCATTTCCGTCCCCAAAAGTAGGCTATCACCTTAGCCTTTACGTGAGTGTTCTTTTATTGTGTTTTATGGCACGATTAGAATCGCTCGAACGCCTCAACTGAACAGATGTGCTTGTAAAAAGACCATCAAAACCTTTAAAGGTTGATGTTATATATATATGAAGCCTTTCGGTCGCTAAGCAGGGCAGATTTATTAGGATTTATTGGGCTTCTCCCACAAACAGCCACTGAGGGGCAGAGCTCTCAAGATCTCACTGCGGGTTATTGACAGGAGAGAGAGAATCGATTCTGTTCCAGTTGAGACATCGAATGTGACAACACAATTCATTTGACTCCAGCGTGGAAATTTGACTTATTTGATTTTGATTGCATTATTATGCTAACTGAATATGCATGCGGATAGAGCATGTCAAACACAGCAACAGGTGTCCCCCCTCACTTTATGTCCTCGGTAAATTCGCTGCAGTATTTTTGGTAAAGCTGATTTAAAAATGAATCATTTATGGCATTGATGGAGATGGGATTTTCATTACACTATTAGCCTACTAATTTTTGACTGACAGTTAGCTTTGATTGAGTTCCAGTATATGAGGACTTGTCGCTATCTCATGCATTTCACAACAACGCAGCAGACGAAATGACTTCAGGCGGCTTGCAAGTACATTAATAATAAATGAACTTTCAACACATGCTTCAATCAATTCAGGACAATGGTGAAATAATGCACCGCAGCAATAACTGGCAACAGTTACAGCTGATGTGAAACCGCTTATGTGAGCAGGATGTCCAGGCAGGCGCTCAGTGTTTTGTGAGCTCAGCTCGGGGAGGCACCAGTTGCTCAGTCGCTGCTGTGATAGTGGATCCGTGTCTCCGTTACTGAGTGATGACAACACATTATATGAGCGCGAACTGAAGCAATCACAGCGGAGTGACAAACGAGGGCGAAGGCGTTTTAATTGATTTGTGTCGACCATGGTGGAGCTGGAGAAGGAGGTTCTGCCGCTGCCGCCGCGGTACCGGTTCCGAGACCTGTTGCTCGGGGACTGGCAGGCGGACGACAGGTAAGTTAACGTTACAGCAACTTCAACTCCTCAGCTTATGTTTACATTCGTGCTTCCAGTTAAAATAACTGCATGTAGGCAATGCACAGGGTATTATTATAGAATTATGGCCATTGTAGCCTAATAGTATGAGTGTGATCATTAGAAACAGCCATATAATATAGCATTGACTGAGTAAGAAGTCCAGTTGGGAGTATTACCTACTGGTATTGGATATTGGTATTAATTAGGTCATTTGAATGCAATACTTGTTGGCTTTAGAATTCAAATTAGTGTAATTATTTTCGTAGCCAACTAATATCAGTGTCAGTTTGTACTATTTTACAGTCTGGCTGTGTTTTAAAACTTAAGCATCTTGTGATGTCCACAAATGCTGTCTAGCTAGCTAGCTCTAGTCTGCGTGTTTATCCTGGCATATATGCGTAGTTGTTTTATGCAGGCTTTGATACAGCGTGGTCACAGTTTGATCTCTTTGACTTAACAGCCATTTTACAGACGGCAAAAGCAGAAAAAGATGAACTGACAAAAATGTGGGTTTGTGCATGCTTGTGTCATATCTAATGTCGAATGATGTGATGATGTTTTGCACACCTCAGATTATATCACCGGTTTGTTTGTTTATTTAATTCAATGTAGCAGTTTACAGCACTGAGTGCCATGCATCGAGTCTCCAAATTAATGTGGAAAATGTTTGTTTAATGTTATCGTTTTACTATGTAAAGAAGGCCAGTCCCTGCAAACAAATTTTAGTTCCCAGAATGTTCTGGGAACATTCTTAAAACATGTATAACGTTTGGTTAGCCAAGAAAGTTTTTGTTTTGGAAAAAGAATGTCTTTTTAGGTTTGCAGAACGTTCCCCCAAACCCTCCTGTAATGTTTTAATGTTAAAAATAACCTGCAGGCACCGTTCTGGAAAGTTTCTCTACGGGGTTCTTAAACATTTGGAAGCCAGGGACCCCTTACAGGGGGAAAACATTGATGCCGGGGACCCCCTTATATTTATAACAGTGATTAAGCCAAGTTAATGTGGGAGCGGCTAGTTAAATATTTGTGCACAAATGGTCTCTACCCAGGGTCCTATGCAGGAATTTCTACATAGCCTACTGAGGTCCCAAAAGTGATCTTGCTAGGGGGGTTGGGGGCATCACTTTTGAATGAAATTTGTTGAAAAATTTCAACAACCAAAAAAATTAGTGCAGTGTTACACTCACTCATACTGACACTTACTGGTGTGCGTTCGTGCAGCATCACGCAAAAATAAAGGTTTACAGTAACATGACTGTAATACGTTATTCGTAGTGACCCAGGATAGATTTATTTTGTGCAGTTTGTGACTTTGCAAGATAAACAACATAAAGTAGCACTGGTATTTCAAAACATTCAGTGGCATATACGAATCAACTACAGACGTGACACAAATAACACGTTTGAAAAAATATTACTGACTTTAATGCATTTAATTGAGATTTAATTATTATGATAAAATTAGGATTAGCTATTTATTTAGAATTTTGTGTCACAATTACGTCAGGGTGCTCGATTAATCTGTCAGTCACTACTGCGGGTGTCACAACACGGTGACATGTTCCGGTGTCAGTCAGGTGTCCTGTCAGTGTGTCGCGATAATGTCAGTGACACGTGCCACTATCCACTGGCACATGTCAATAATGTCAGTGACCCATGCCACTATCCATTGTATGCCAATGAAGACCGGATATGCCAATACGCATAGAGACATGTGCCACATACTTTTGCACAGTGATATACTGTTAGCAAACAACCAGACGCCATCCACGCTGCTTAGATGAATATGTAAATAAACACACAACAAAAAAGACAGCGGTGAGTAAGCTATTAGGAAAGCAGTACATAATTCGCCTATAAATCTAGACAAACCCTTGCGGCAGCAAAAAATGATTTTGCTGCCAGTGTGATCTAGCAACTCTCCGTTGGCTTGCGAGCTGGAAAAAACAAACTCTGGTCAGGCCAATCACATCGTGTATAGAGTTGGTGGGCGGGCTTAACATAATGACAGCAGAGTTGTGACGGTTCCACGTGATTTCGCTGCTACTTGAAAACAAACAAGATGCTGCTGGCGAACAGCGGTCTTTCAAATCGGCTTTGGACGCGACTCTGGGTGACTTGGTGTTAAGGGAACGTCACTTGGAAAAGGAAGGAAGATGAGGAAAAAAGGAACGTCAAAAAAGGAAGATGAGTTCAGAGATTTGACGACCGGATACGGCAAAAGTTTAATATATCAACTAACTCCGCTGGACGGAAAACGCCTTGGGACTCAGTCATTCACAGCCGATCGTTGCTCTGGTTGGTTGTAGCGCTATCCTATTGCGTGCAGAGGGATTTTGAAAGACAACTGTTTATCCCGCCCCTCGGATTGAGGCATGCCAATTGTGAGCTCCCAGACCTAACATCTTGATGTAGGTCTGGCTTGCCAGGCTAGTACAGAATGGCTCTTTCGGCATTATCCTGAACATTGTATAAGCATTTATTTCATGTAGATGGAATAAAGGCTCTCGGAGCACGCTGAAACGTCACATCCTTTGGATTATCCCTGCAAAAAGGTCCAGAGTCTTTCACATAACAACCTAGGAAGTCAGGGACAGAAATGAATGTTATTTTCGACAGTCCTAATATATCAACAATATCAATCACTTAAAGGTGCAATGTAATAATTGAGGTAAAAATATCCAAAAAAATGAGCTACACGCATCAAAACAATGAGAAGAAATAAGTGCAATGATGTAATTAAAAAACTGACAAGTTATAGTGCTGCCGAGATATAAACCTAAATTAGCATGCTAAATTACTAGCCCCGGCCCGGCAGGTGTCGTAATACCAGTTTCGGCCATGGGAGGCAGTATGCGGGCGGGCAACATTACCACCAGCTCTGAATGGCGCTAGGTTGATCAACATCAGCGAATGCTGTCTGTCAAATTAATTCAAACTAACAATAAAAGTGTAATATGAACAAAACGAATACCATAAACTTAAAATAATTGCCCGCAGGCTTTTATTTTCCCATATCGTCGAAATGCACCAGCAATTTGCCAACTGTTAATTTGCCAACTGTTGCAAATCCACTGAGCATTTAATGCTTTCTTTAATAATGTCAATTTACCTGTGATACCAGTGGTATATTGTGAGGGCCACAGCACTTAAAGGTACACATGTGCCATTTAGCCAGTTGGTGGAACATAAAAATCTGCATTTTATGCTTGACACTCCGTTGCTAGGTGAGGACGGAGGACCGAAACACTTTAGTCCTTTAGAAAGATAAGAATGAGTTTTCTCCCTCGCTACTGGTCTTCCTGAGTGGGTGTATAAAATGCACTAATTGGCGAGCGCTCATTCGTAAGGGGGTTAAAAGTACACGTCTTCTTAAATGGAGCAACCACTTCAGGTGATAATTCCACATTTGAAACAGCCTCCATTTGACAGTTTCAAAGGGATCTCATTATTGAAATCATATCTAATCACTCTCACCAACTGGGGATTGATTATGTTATTTGCGTATCAGAGAGCGTGCGGGGGTGGAAAACACGGTGGTCTGTCGCTCTCCCTGTGGATGCGTTTTGTAGTACAGCTGATAAAGATAGAGAAGCTTGTTTCCTCTTCAGACAACACACTGAACACTCTCACTGCATAAAGCTTACAATCCAATTCTCTGTGTGTGTTTGTGAGAGAGAGAGAGAGAGAGAGAGAGAGAGAGAGAGAGAGAGAGAAACATTAACCTGCTCAACCTGGCTCCTTGAGGACTCAAAAATAAGGATGTCTGGCTCCTTCGGCTCTGAATTAAAGACCTTGTAAAGGCAGAAGGCAAAGTGCAAGTATACAAATCACTTTATGCCCATGTAAACAGAATGTTAGCATTAACGTAATACACATCCACATTCTGTAATATACAATCCACATTATTATTGCAGCATGAAAGAATCTGAAGAATCATCATCTGCTCTTTTCCATCCATATGTTTCAGGGGCGTTTCCTCTGAGAAGGCAAGGGAGGCAGTGCCTCCTCAAAAAATTGGATGAAAAAATAGTCCATATTACAAAATAAAACAAATATCACAAAATGTGACATTAAAAAGTGTATAGTCGCTCGCTTTTCTATAGTAACACTGTCCAACAGCCAGAGGCGGACACAGCTTCAATACTTGAGTAAAAGTACAGATAGATCTTGCTAAATATCACTCAAGAACAAGTAAAAGGACTACAGTGAGATGTCTACTTAAGTAAAAGTACTAAAGTACTTGTTTTTAAAAGTACTTGGGTATCAAGAGTACATTTTCTAATAGCGCTTTTCCACTGGAATTGAAAATACGGTACTTAAAAATTGATACAAAAAAGTGTAACGGTACAAAAATTTTTACTTAAGTACTGTACTCAAGTAAATGTACTCCGTTACTGTCCGGCTCTGCCAAAAGCGACACCCGCCGATAAAGTTACAGCGGGACTCTGCGTCTCTCTTGCCTCCCCTGAACACATTGACTTTTAAAGTCCCCCTGTGGTGAAAATACCGCTTTTAATGTTGTATATTTGTCTATGTGGTGTTTTTAATATGCTTTAAGACAAACCATGTACAAATTCATGTAAACACCATTGCTGAGTATTTTCTCTTTAAAACTGCAGTGAACCAAACACAGTATCAAAAACACTTTTTTGAAATCGCTGGTGTTTCTAACGTCACAAACTACCTTGTAACCAATCAGGTCAACGTGTGATCGCCAACGAGTGGATCTCTGAGCTGGTGCGAGTGAGTGGAGACGGGGATAATTTGCATATTCACAGAACCACAAATACTAAATGAGGCAAGGGTGTAGAGTTACATTCAAGCTATTTTACAGCATGAAGAAATTTGTTTTCAAGGGGGGGGGGGGACGTTTAAATATGTCATTTTGGTGATCAAAGATGAGTTAGCCTAATGGAAGGGATATAATTATTGACAACAGGGGGACTCTAACAGACCCATAAAGCGTGTGGTGG